AGCAGGAATGTTGATGCTTTAACACTGCCGAGTAAAATTCAGCTTGTAGACTAATCCCAGCACGTGACCACTATTCACTCACGAGGACCCCTTCAATGGAGAAACCATTGTGCTAGCTATTGTACAAAGCTGAATAGCTAGCACAATGTTTTAACCACTGAAGGGGGCCTTCGTGATAAAATTGCTAGCAATGCTCAGATTTTTCTACAACTAAGGGATCATTTTAATGGGGGTGGTACATGTAAGGCCAAGTACAAAAATAAACCAGTTCTCGTCCCTGCCCGCTTCCTTTTTTTTCCCCGGCCGCCTTCTCTAGTTCCCCTCCCCTCCCCCTTTTTCTTTTAAATCATATATTTGCAATCTAGTTTGTTTTTGTATTTGTTTCCAGTGAAATTCTATCCATGGACGAAGTTCAAAATATTGTAGAATGGGTGACGGCTCCTTTGGACACAAAGGTATCGGCAAAACAGTCCAGAAAATGAAAGAATCCATCTTAGAATATCTGTCATCTTGGAGAAAAAAAAAAGGGGGGGGGGGCAACTCCTACCTTAAAAAACCCCGATTTGCTCCTTAGCTCTACAATGCTTGACAAAAATCTTGCCTGTCCGAAAATTCTCATGGCTTTTTTATAAGGACCAAAGATCATTAAAAAAACTACATGGGGGGAGGGAGAGGAAATTGGCAATCAAAATGCAGTCCTGCTGAAAAACCAAAGTGAATACAGACTTTCATAGGTGTAGCTAACCATCTACATTAAGGCGCCCTCTTTTGGTTTACCCAGAAAGTGGCAGGCAAAAAACTCTTGAGACTTTTTATGTACACAATCTTCAGTATTTCCTGATAACTGGTGCCAGATTTCAAGACATCCTATCAGCATGCCGCATTTAGTGAGACCATGTTGTGAGTTTTTAGTGAAAATTGCAAATGTGTGCCATGTATATCACTTTGGTATTGGGCGAAATTCCATCAACAGTGATTCTCTTGATGACCCATGAAAACTGGCCAAGATTATTTTGCAAAATGCATACCTTTCAGAAACGAACCAAAGAAATTGATGCATGCAAATCCAATTATCAAAAATTATACTTGATAATTATGACGCCCTCGTGGTCACCACTTGCCTGCCACTTTAAAACTAAAATCAATAGAGGGCGCTCTATACATAAGTAAGACAGTAAATAAGGCAATCGAAATAGAGCTTTTTCTACAATTTCAAAAAGGTACAAATTACACATTTCTGTTAAGCACGCAAATTTGCTGGCAAAGGAGAAAAATTACAAGCCTTAAAAAAGGTCACCACCAAGCTGTTATGTTAACTTCACTGCTTGTTGTGCTCTGCAAATTAATACATAATAGCAGTATTTTATGTTCCTTTTGTGCTTCCAAATTATGCAAAAACTGTAATTATTCACAAACTTCACACAAAAATCATGTCGGTGCATTGACTTTCTTCAAAATTTTGTAACAAAATAGGTGCTTTCTGCACTGCAAAAAAAATCACAAAGCTAAATTACAAAGCTAAGGCTAAATGTGATATGCATAAAAACCACCACAATTTTTTTCAAATCACTCAATAATCTTATCTATTACATTGCACAAATTTTTGAACCTAGAAATTACATAGTCCACAACACCCACCAACACCCTTCCCATCTTAGTCTTAGTTCCAGATGCACATCAATATTTGGTTCCCCTAACACATGCCAGTCCCTTGGACTAAGAGTCAGTAAAGGGCACTATCGACATCATCCACTTTGGTTGGAGACTAGTTTGGGCTATTTGATGCTACTCTTTTTCCATGAGTGATCATGTTCATGGTATCCCACTATAAGTGGTTTTACAGTGTGTTAGGGAGCAAAATCTCAATAGAACATCTTGAATCAAGACTAAATTCTCAAAAGAATTAACCCAAATGGAAACTGGCAAAAAATGTTTCACCAAAGACAAACCAAAATTGTCGCTCTCAAAATAAGCTTTTCTACTGTTGTGTCAAGATGCCCGACTATATTACATCACTATACTGTTTGTCGTTTCTCTTTGAAAACTCCGGCACGCATTTATGCCGAGTCCCAGAGGACCAGGCTACTGTCCTCTTTGTATCATTCCCACTGACTGTTACTTTAGCCGGGCAGTGCTATTGTATAGGATTACCCTGCATAAATGGGCTAAATCTGGCCCATTATGTAGACCATGCATGACAAGACTTCCAGTGAATAGCCATTCCGCATCGATTGAATAGAATTGTGCACGCTCTGTGAACCACCTATACTACGGTAGGCTTACCTTGTCTTTGTTTTGTTTAGAGAACAAGAGCTTCTCAAAAAGAAGCAAAACACATGATCCCTCCACTACCATAATCCTTTAACAATTTGTCTATTTCGCTACATCTGAAACTATCAAGATCTAAGTAAACTGATGCTAATGACACCAAGACAACATCCAAATTGTGACATTTAAACAGATTCATAGAGCAATGAACCAGAGTGTCAAATTTTTCAAAAGTATGGCTGTACAATTTTGAAAACCTTGCTAAAAAAAATAACTGAATGGTGTCAATTATGACATAATACAAATCACTTTGTACAATGATGCCAATCGAACGAGCCATCAGGCCCCGCTCACCGCCCAACAATGCCTCCACTGCATGTTCCACCATGCGTGTCGTATGCGAGTGTACGCATGTCGGACATTTGTGCAAGCATGTCGGACATTTGTGCAAGCATGTCGGATGCAGGCATGTCGGACATAATTCACGGCTGTAATTGGTCAGAACATTGTGGGCGGGGCTTAGTGGGATGGTCTATTAAATAGAGACTAAACTGCAGTTTGCGATCAGTAGGCCTACCAAAAACAAATTTTTCCCGATCAAACACATCAACTTTTCCAAATATGGGAATTCTAACAAAATAGAACATTCACTGTTGCACTTATGCTGGAGTTTTTAAACCACAATTTTAGTGGTTCTAAATAAATAAAGAAATTCATTTTTTGAAATGTTGACTACATGTACATCATTGATCACAAAAATCTTTTTTTTCACATGCCAGATCCATTAACCACAAATAATGAAAACGCTCTATTTTGACGACGCAAAGTGGCAGGCATGTTTTTGCGCGAACATGTTTCCAAAGTTACAATTCATCACATTATTAAGAGTCCATCTACAGTAATACAAACATTATTTTATTTGTAAAATGCAAAAATATGGAGTTTATATGTAGATTACAAACAGTCCTGAAAATTGGTAATAAGTTTAATTTTATACAGCTTTCGACAAACCGTCACAATTTCATTTTTATTTTAGTTTCTCTAATCACCAATGACTTATTCAAAACTTCCCACTCATTTTTTTCCCTGGCTGGGAACGTTCCCCAATCCTTCAAAATCCACCATTATGAAGGAACCTAATGGGAGATTACTTATACCTCCATTTTCAATGAAGGAAAATCAAGCCCTATGCAAAATACATGTAAAATACAGTGGTAAGGTAAACTCTACCTTCCTAAACCCTACAAAATCCTCCAAAACTTTCCCTAGTGGATTTTGAAGGGTTTGGCTAGTTTGTAATTATTAAAATGATGCACAAGCATCTGTGGCATTCACCAACTATTATACTATGTATACAATAATGAATGTTTATGAGTGCAATGGTAAGAATAATTTCATTCAGTGATGGAATGTTCCATCGATCACTGATTCACCTCGTGGAATGGAACATTCCATCTGCCACTGAATGAAATTATTCTTTCCATTGCACGAATGTGAAACATTCATTGTTGTTTTATACAACACCTGAATAAATCCTCATCTATTATTCTGAGCCACCAATAGTGTGACCGTGCAATGAAACTTCTATTTACCGTGGAATAGAACTTCTCTTTTTGCCGTGCGGCCGGGCCGTGGGTTATGACGAATAGTTCATTGACATGTGATCAACGACCCACCAATCAGACAACAAGGATTTATTCAGGCATTGCGTAATACAACATGTACACCTATTATTGTGTACTTCGAGTACAACTCTCATTTTGACTCGTCCAGGGTTCGAATCAAACAGTATAAAAAAAAATAATAATTTCGTGAATTTTTCAACATTTCAGTTTCTGATTGAGATTTTAGTAGCTGTCAGGTTTTGCTGTTAGCTTGTTTTCATCAAATGATTGAACCATCACTTGAGAAAAATGGTTCACGGTTCGAACCCCATCCTCGACGAGCCACAATGATCTAATGCATCTACATGTATGTAATGATTTACTCCATTCCCTATACACGCTTTGATATTTTGATGGTCAAAATTTGGAGTATTGTTTTTCCAGGGGCGACCTGCAACTCTCAAGTTTTTTTTGGTAGGTGGTTCGAGCCCAACCCGGTGACCCGATTGAGACCACAAGTAGGAAAAATCTGATGCACCGCCCTTCTGAGATTAACCAGTACATGTGCATGTCGAACTAATTATTTTTAACACAAATATTGATGAATGACATTAGGATTATGCTTTTGATTCATGTACAACTCGAAAACTTGCATTCCCCTGGTTGCCTGTTCGAATCCACATCTGCGGTAAGCAGTGTAAATGCGTCTCATTATACATTTGCAGCAGATTTGGCGTCGAGTCCATCACAAGTCCGTCACACGTACGACCACAAGGAACAGTGGATGACCAAGTACAAAGGAACGCCTTCGTGCCACAGCTATACTGAGTAACTTGTAGCCCGTCTTGGGACTGGAGGACTTGTGATGGACTTGCGAGAACTTGCAAGGACTTGTGAGGGACTTGACACTGCTTCGCAGTTTAACATCGTTTGAAAACTGGCGATTTGTAATATACAAAATGGGATTTTTGTTTACAAGTCATCTTTGCATCTACATAGTGATAAATTGCACAGCAATATTGTCCTACGACACAACCTACTATATGTCTGATGGTTTGAGGTTCGACCCCAGCCTGCAACAAATTTCTGTACAATATATATTTCAATGCCTTTTTTTTATTTGATTTGTTTGAGCCGATACCATGAACTATACACAATTGTTTACTCGTTATTGCTTGTCTGCAGCTGTTGCTTACCTTTCATTGTCTTTCATTGTTGTTGTTTACCTTTAGTTGTTGTTTACAACTGTTAACTTTGTTTGCGTGTCTACAAGTGGCGCTAAGATGCTGGATCCTTAAACCTCCAAACGTTGCATGCACTACGCTTCAGGAATTCTGAATTCAAGACAAAAAATAACATGACTTAGGTTAATAAAACTAGCCATTGCATAAAAATGGGCTGTCCGTTTCCCAATAAAAAGTATTCGATTATTCAAAACTGCATTTGACCGAATATTCAAAAATTTTAAAAGTTTTCAAGTTTAACATATGCCAGCTGCACCAGCATGCCGCACCGGTCAAAAGTTGGTGCAAAGCTCGCAGCGGAGAACATTTGTGTGCTGCGTCAATATTATGGGCCGCTGGCGTGTTTTGCAGTATGCCTAAGTACAGAGATGCCACAGGACAAGCTTGAAACAAAAAACGGAACTGGGTCTGCTTGAAAAAACCGGAACGGCTGCTTGAAAAAAACCCAGAACTTTTTGTGTGTGTGAAAAAGCCACTCCGAGTCCGACACAAAGTCCCTGTTGTCATCTTTATCTTGTAGCCAAGCCCGGTTCTGTTAAGTTTTTAATTTTGCTTCTATGGCCTTTAAGCTGTTGGTTTGTTCGATCACATGGACTTTTTCCATATTCCTAATATTTATTCTGCCTACCCGAATTTCCAACGCAATATTCGACACGAAACATGCACGATTCCACAACACTGCTGTCGGTGTACATGACCTTTGCAGTTTGCACTACGCGATGCGCTCGACGAAAAAATGGTTGGTACCCGGCGTTTTTTGTATTCACATATATCACTGCGATCGGAAACCACCGACAACTGAAATGATAGACTTGATTTCCACGCTGAATGCTCTGTGTGCTTATGCACAACACGCCCGCACGCAGTGAAGCACGCGCGAGGCGCCGTTGTATACTGCGTGCAAGTACACGTACGTTGGCCGCCTGTATCGCATGCAGGCTCGGCAACAACAAAGACTGATTTTAAGACTACGTTGTGCCGTGCGTGTGCCTAAATCTAAATCGAGAGTGCTAAGGAGGTATAAAATCAATGCATTTCCACATTTTTTTTTTCGGTTTATTTTGACAGTCGGAAAAACCGGATTTTTGTGAGATTAAAAAACAAACAAACAGAATTCCGGTTAAAACCAGAAATGCTTTAATTCCAGGATTTTGCAGGATCGTGGGAACCCTGCCTTTTAATAAATAGCCCCCTCGCTTGAGCTTACTCGTTTGCCGTGTCAGACCGGCGAGCCGATAGCTTTCTCCTTCCCCTGCCTAGCGTCAGCCGATAACCTCCTCTGCTCGTCCGTGACTTTCCCTGTCTTGAGGTCGCCCGTGCTCGAGGACCGGCCGCCGCCGGGTACCGACAGGCTGCTGCCTGTGCTGCTGAGGGGTGTGGTCGGGGAGGGCGACTCCCCCTGGCGGCTGTGATGCTCCGCCCCATTCTGGAGGTCAGTGCTGGAGCTGTACGGCCGACTTTTATCTTTCTTGTCCTTCTTCAGAAAGCTGAAGACCCGCTTCTTCATGCGACTTGGCGATGATTCTAAAAAAAAAAAAAAAAAAAAAATGCATATTGTTCAGGATATTTGTCTAAAGACTTGACATTTCTGTGAAGTGATAAAATGGAAAGGAGTCACCAATTTCATGGTTTGCAATAAAAAATTGTTTAATAAAAACTAATATTTGCATACACCACTCGAAGCAGTCAATATTTGCTTACTACACCACTCGAAGCAGTCAATATTTGTACTCCTTACCACTCGAAATAGTCAATAATTGTATACCACATGTACATCACTCAAGGCAGCCAATATTTGTATACCACACATAGAGCTATATTAAATTACTAGAGCGCTAACTCTTCATTCTTGCGCACAGAGACGCTTTGAAGCCGCTCTGGGCGCAGACATTTTGAATTTATGTGCGTGTTTGTAGAACACAATCAAAATAGATGGATTGAATTTTGAAAGTGTACTCTAAATGCAACGCGCAAGTAGAAGATACACAAACATTTTAAGCGAGTCATGACGGTTCAAAATACGTCACGGAGAAAAGCATCTGCAGCGGAGGGACGCGCACACGTTGCACTGTTTGCATAGAGCAAAATGAAACGCTCATTTGCTGACCGTGCGTTTTGGTTTTGGGCGTATCGCCTTCGATAACGCACCGGTATAGAATACAAACGCGGATATGAAAAAAGACGTACAAAAGCTGTACAAATTTTCTAGTTTTCCACAGGTTTGTGCACAAACATGGATGCGCCCATCAGGCATTACTTTGTACATCGAGTTAGCGCTCTAGTAATTTAATATAGCTCTATGATACCACATCATTTGAAGCAGTCAATATTTGTATTCTACACCACTCAAAGTTGTCAATATTTGTATACTGCACCCCTCAAGATGTCAATAATTATTTGCATACTACACCACTTGAAGGGGAGTCAATATTTTTATACACCATGTTCATCACGTCAAGCAGTCAATAGTTGTATACTACACCACTCCAATCAGTCAATATTTGTGTACCTCGCCACAGTGTTTAGACTGACCTCTGCTTCTACCACTACTGGGGACATCCAGTGTGTTGGATCTGCCCTTCCGCGCGTCGCTTCCTTTGCGCGCCTCGCTGCCCGGCGTCTCGGACCCGTTGACGGATGTGTCCTCCGTGCTGCTGGTGCGTCGCTTGTCCTTGTCTTTATCCTTCTTCTTGAAGTTGAAGAAGCGGCGTTTGCTTCCCCTAGGAGACGCATCTGTAAAAAGATGTAAACGAATAAAAAGCTATCTGCAATATTGGATTACACGCACCGAATGAAGGCTAACTAAATTTTTTTTAACTGAATATTCAATGAATGATGAAATAACTGTCAGAAGCAGGACATATTCTGCAGCCAATGGGCTCCGTGCGCCAACCAAAGAGGGCGCGTTTTTACCACTTTTGAGAGCTCCGTGGACGGGACACACAGTGTGTGCGTACTGTACTGTACTGGTTCGCGCGCAAAGTACGCACGACTTCCTGAATGTGCCAAAGCTATCAGCCGCAGCGTATTCGCGTAAGCGTCATGGATCGTCGGCATGCAAATACGTTCGAATTTAACTTGTGATGGTCTCCCAGACTAATCCTCGTCCCCAATAACTTTGGATCATTCGAAATACGCAGTGGATGGACCGGGAACCAAGTTTTGCCTGCAGCTCTTACAAAATCTAGGATATGAAAGCCCAGTTATTAGTTTTCAAGTTATGGAATTTTTTTACACAAACACTGTTTTAAAGTTCTGTCCACGAATCACAACAAAAGTGAGTGTTTTTCAGCAAAACAAAAATCAATCTCATTGGGATGCATGTGAAGTGTTTTTGTTTTGCTGAAAGAACACTTCAGGGCTTTCATATCCTAGATTTTGAAAGTGTTACAGGCAAAACTTCATTCAAAATTGGTCCTGCCATTTGGGTTTCATTTTTTTTTTACTCACACTGTATACTGACAGTTTGAGTCTATATACATCAGCATGGTTTGTCGGCGGTATTTCAGATAAATGTAGATCATCCGGTCCAAAGCTCAAACACTCACCTCTTTTTATGCTATCACCTTCCTTGGGACCGAGCGGATCGTCTGTCATCAGGAAATCTTCTGTGGGTGTCTGTGGGACATGACAACATTCCAGCAACAATGAAGCACTTCAACTGTTATCAAAATGCAGTTTTACTTTGGATACATAAGAAGCAGTGTTGCAGTGATGTCTGGTTAAAAAGTAAGATCACAAGTCCCTTCATCGATCCAGTCATGAGTAACAGGGGATGGACAATAGAACAGGAATGCTTTTGTCACAGTTTGTTTGAAAAGCTTGTGACTTGACTTGAGACTGGAGAATCAATCACAAGTCAACCACAAGTCAATCACTAGTCAATCACAAGTCAACCGCAAGTCAATCACAAGTCAATCACTAGTCAATCGCTAGTCAATCGCAAGTCAATCACAAGTCAATCACAAGTCAATCACAAGTCAATCACAAGTCAATCACAAGTCCATCACAAGTCACTCACAAGTCAATCCAAAGACAATCACAAGTCCATCACAAGTCAATCACAGCTAAATCAAAAGTAAATCACAAGACAATCACAAGTCAACCACAAGTCAATCACAAGTCAATCACAAGTCAATCACAAGTCAACCACAAGTCAATCACAAGTCAATCACTAGTCAATCACAAGTCAATCACAAGTCAATCACAAGTCAACCACAAGTCAATCACAAGTCAATCACTAGTCAATCACAAGTCAATCACAAGTTCATCACAAGTCAATCACAAGTCAATCACAAGTCCATCACAAGTCACTCACAAGTCAATCACAAGTCAATCACAAGTCAACCACAAGTCAATCACAAGTCAATCACAAGTCAACCACAAGTCAACCACAAGTCAATCACAAGTCAACCGCAAGTCAGCCACAAGTCAACAGCAAGTCAGCCACAAGTCAATCGCAAGTCAGCCACAAGTCAACCACATGTCAACCTCAAGTCAATCACAAGTCAATCACAAGTCAACCACAAGTCAACCACAAGTCAATCACAAGTCAACCACAAGTCAACCACAACTCAATCACAAGTTCATCACAAGTCAATCACAAGTCGATCACAAGTCCATCACAAGTCACTCACAAGTCAATCCCAAGACAATCACAACTCTATCTTAAGTCAATCTCAAGTCAATCGCAAGTCAATCGCAAGTCAATCGCAAGACAATCACAACTCAATCACAAGTCATTCACAAGTCATCGCAAGTCCATCACAAGTCAATCACAGCTAAATCAAAAGTCAATCACAAGACAATCACAAGTCCATCACAAGTCAAACACAAGACAATCACAAGTCCATCAGTCTCAAGTCAAGCGAAAGCTTTTCAAGTGAACTTTGACAAAGGCATTCCTTTGTCAGTGTTCATCCCCTGTTAGTTGTGAACTGACTTAGGATGGAACTGACTTCAACTCTGCTCTTTAGCAATTACAGAAAAGTTCCCTGTAGTAAAATATATTGACCAACTACGTACCAAGTCATAAATGACAAAGTTCATTTACGAAACACGTCAGAAAGAGTGACTTTACACTTAAACTTTACAAAAGTGGTGCTGTTTGCTGCAAAAAGCATTTTCACAATGTACTGAGCACACAAAGTCTGAAGTAATGAAATTTGACCATAAGTAAGGAGTCATCTTGTGAAATATCCGTGATAAATAAGTGACAAGTTTATCCCCAATTTGGGGTGTGCATTTACGGGTAGGGCAGGAACCGGGTACCCAACCGAAAAAAAAACCAAGGGTACCCGGGTACCTATTAAAAAAACCTGACCCCAAAATTCAAATCTCAGAAGTTCAGATTGTTCATTGATATAAAGGTCCGCACAATAACTATACCATGTGCATTGGTGTGTCAATGCAGCAAGATACACTCAGCCAAAAAAGAAAGTCCCCCCTTAATCCTTTTTGTCTAACTCAAAAACTACTGGGCACATGTTGCTCAAATTACGACTGATCAGTACAGAAATTCCTTAGCATTCCAGCCATACTCTTTGTTTGGCCCAAAACAGTGATAATGCGTACAAAATTATGCAATTCATGACAAATGGTACAGAGAAAAAAGTTGCACTTTTGTGTACGTGCAAAGTGAGTGTGAACCACAACTTGCACGTATGCAAAAGTGAAACTGTTATCATTTGTCATAAATTGCATAAATTCGTACACATTATCACTGTTTTGGGCCAAATAAAGAACATGGCTGGATTGCTAATGAATTCTTTTACTGATTAGTTGTTATTTGAACAAGATGTGCCCAGTAGTTTTTGAGTTAGACAAAAAAGTATTGGACGGGGGAGACTTTCTTTTTTTGGTTGAGTGTACATGTACAACTGTGTACCAGCACAGAGCTTTATAGCTATGGTTTGTTTTCGCATGTAGCCTGGTTTTCATTTTGAAAATTCCCCATGAATGACATTCAAAACCTTTCTTTTTCATTGAGAAGTCACTGAGTAATTTGTCAAATTTGTTGCCCGATCCTATAATCTGGAACCGGTTCCTGACATCAACGGTCGGTACTTGGGCACCCGGTTCCGATGCACAGCCCTACCCACAATAGGCCCGCCCCTTGTATCGGGTATTCGCTCTTTTCACACTTCCGCCATGGGCATGCAAAGCCTCAATCGAGCAACTTGACGCAATAAATATAGCCGGTTCAGTGATTCCCGTGTCGGGGTTCAGATCACTGAACCGGCTATTTTTATTGTGTAAAGTTGCCAGATCGAGGCTGTTGCATGCCCAATGGCGAAGGGTGAAAAGAGCGAATTAGTTGCAGAATTTTGCTGATCTCCCATGGAAATTATTTTAGCAATTCGTAAACGGCGCTGGTAGCTTCACTGTATGGAGGAAGTTCTGGGGAAGTTGTTCAGCATTGTCCAGCACTGCAGGCCTTTTGCGTATGAACTTGTATACAACTTATCTTGGATGTTTAACCAGATGACTCCTAAACTTATCCTAAGAAATTGACTGGAGCTGGGTTGGAACCTTTGACCTCTGGAATGCTGTATCAGCTCTCTTCCAACAGAGCTATCCAGCCCTATGCTGCATTGCCAATGTTGCTAGCGTCGTGACTTTGGGCGTGGTTCCTGGCCACATGGCATACACAGATTTATGGCTTCTGACTAGCAGTCCTTGAACGAAGACACTGACATATGGGGAACAACCAACATAGGGCTGGATACCGGTAGCTCAGTTGATAGAGCACCGGAACGGTAATCCGGAGGTCGCAGGTTCAAGCCCTGCTCCAGTCAATTTCTTTGTTCAAATTTATGTACAGGGTGAGTAAAAAAAAGCAAAACCCAAAATGTCGGGACTTCTGTTTTAGTGAAGTTCTGCATGTAGCACTTTCTAAATCTAGGATATGAAAGCCCAATTCATAGACTTTCTTTTAGTACAAGAATCATTCAAATCACTCATGTACTTTCGAAGTTACGGAACTTTAAAACCACCGTTTTAAAGTTCTGTCCACGGATCACAAAAAGGTGTGCATTCTTTCAGCAAAACGAAACAATTCACACACATCCCTATGTGATTTGTTTTCGTTTTGCTGAAAGAACACTTACCTTCTGTTGATCCGTGGACAGAACTTTAAAATGGTGGTTGTGTTTAAAATTCGGTAACTTCAAAAGTACATGAGCGATTTGAATGATTCTTGTACTAAAAGAAAACTTATGAATTGGGCTTTCGAGTCCTAGATTTTAACAGTGTTACATGTAGAACTTCACTAAAAAAATGGTTCCGACATTTGGGTTTTTGTTTTTTTTTACTCACTCTGTATGTCAAGTTTCCCTTTGTGGTTCATATGATTACAAAAGTTTTAAAATCGAACTAAAGGATGTAATATCTCCTACATTGTTGGAATGGCTAAACAAAATATGGAAAAGTATTAAATGTAGATTTGTCTGAAACTGTACGGAAATCATATAATATGATTGGCAAGATAAGATTCGCGAAACACACAATTCGTCTGATTAATGGTAAGGAACACAAGTTGACTATGTGGCAATGGGAAAATGTAGCTAAAAGAAAATATCAAACCGAAATTTTAAAAAATGGCATTAAGCATCTCATACATGTAGGACAGGCAATGACATAGCTGACATGCAAAAAAAAAACCAACATAAAATAAACATAAAAAGGGAAAATATGGAATTCCAAAATGGCACAACAAATATGTCTAAATATAAACTGAAAATCAAACAGCAAAGTGATGCAAGGTCACAGTTCAGCATGAAGCATGTGATAAAAGCAAACTTGGGAGAAAAAGTGACATTGGTTGTCCAAAAAAAACCACTCCAAATTACACTCAACTTGGGTTGTATTAGCTCTTGATATTTCATGCCTAGTGTACTATTTTGCCTAATGTCCTATTTGTACCTATCTCAGTCTTTCTGATTTGAAAATCACAGGCGTGTGGAAAAAGGCACACCTGGATTTTTTCTAGGTGTGTGTTTTTTCTAGGTGTGTGGTTTTCTTGGTGTGTGATCTGTAGTCCAGGGAAATTCAGGCGTGCAATTATTCGCACTTCTCAGGAAGCTTTTAGGTGTGCGATGGTGTGGGGGTGTGATCGCACGTCTCAAATCGGAAGGACTGCTATCTCACTGAATGACTGACTCCCCCTGTGAGCCGGGCAGTGCTATCATATAGGATTACCCCAAATTGGCTACATCCAGCCCATTGTGTAGATCAGATGCATGAAAATACTGCCTTTCTGAATAGCCATTCTGAATCAATGGAGTACCGAAGTGAATACGTCACGCGCACAAAGTGTGTGTAAAAGACATTAGCGCGTGATTCAGCCCGTGAACCAACACGCGCGCGTACTCCATTCGTTTGCACTACACTTTCTGGTTCTAAATGACGTCACACTTCGGTACTCCATTGCATAGAAGTTTATGCGCTCTGTGATGAGCTTTATGAGACTTGCCCGGACTTGTTTTATTACCCCTTTTATCTTCAAGCAAACTTGAATCCTCGATCCTGATTGGTCAATTCATGGCAACAAACCGCGCTATATTGTACCTTATACTGTCGATATCGCACTCCATGTATCGCGCTATTCCAAGATGTGAGCACCATTCCAGGTGCATGTGCAGATAACTGCTAAAAAGGAAGTGTAAAGCATGCTTGTTCCAACTCTATCATGCGTCAAGTTTGCTTGAAGATAAATTTGTCATCCCCCTAGTACCAACTAGGGGGTCCCACTACTATCAAAAATAAAAAAAAAACATGTATGGCTTTTGCCGTTGGGAAGGCCAATTGCTCGCCAAGGGGGGCCCGGCCCCACGTGGTCTCCCCTTGGCGACGGGCCTGCTCTGGGCACAAATTAAGTACCGGTACTCCCCAACAGTTACAAAGAGAAAGTGGGGGGAGACCACTGGGAGCCCGACTCTTGAACGCCTAGCTGATGGCGAATGACTCTCATGCCAAGAACCTTCAGGTTTGCGTACACTCAGAATAAAATTAATGATGCTTACTATGCGAAATACGCAGGGGAACCAGTGCGTGAATGCCACAGTTCCCAAGAATGGGTTTGAATCATCTTGCCATGGATTGGAACAAAATCGTAATCCAGTCTTGGATCCAGACTAATCTTTTGCAATACAGGGTGAGTAAAAAAAACCAAAAAACACCAAATGTTGGGACCATTGTTTTAGTAAAGTTCTGCTTGTAGCATTTTCAAAATGTAGGATATGAAAGCCCAATTCATAAGCTTTCTTTTAGTACAAGAATCATTCCAATCACTCATGTACTTTTCAAGTTACGGAATTTTAAACACAAGCACCGTTTTAAGGTTCTGTCCACGGATCACAAAAAGTTCAGTGTTCTTTCAGCAAAACGAAAACAAATCACATAGGGATGTGTGTGAATTGTTTTCATTTTGCTGAAAGAACGCATATACTTTTCTGTGATCCGTGAACAGAACCTTAAAACGGTGGTTGTGTTTAAAATTCCGTACATGTACCTTGAAAAGTACATTAGTGATTTGGATGATTCTTGTACTAAAAGAAAGCTTATGAATTGTGCTTTCATATCCTAGATTTTGAAAATGCTACATGCAGAACTTCCCTAAAACAATGGTCCCAACGTTTGGGTTTCATTTTTTTTTTACTCACCCTGTAGTTTGCATGGTACGCACAGGTTCTTTTCTTCTGAACGTGCGCGCAATGCACACAGCGGTAAAGGCGTTCAAGTATCTGTCATACCGGTATCTCTCCCTGTCACCACTGAATGGGCTTTTGTGCACAGACTCCCCAGCTTGTAATGGGTTGAAACTGAAAAAGTCGGTTCATACTTTGCGTGAAAGCAAATGCTTATGTGAATTTTACACCAATAAGCTTTTGTTGCGAAAATTTGACGTGGCGTCACAAGTTTGCATTCGCGTTAGATTTCGTGCCAAATATGAATCGGTCTTTAAGGAGGTTTTCCATTTCACACAGCCGTTATCACTGAAATGGGACTACGGATGATCGGAGAGGGAAAATAGCTTTAATTTGATTGAATTTTTTTGTGTTCTACACATGACAAATTTGCAGCCTAAAAAAAAATGGCAGTTTTGGAGGCTGCATAAAGCATGTGAAAGCAAAAGCGAACGCGAATCTGTGACGTCATGGCAAGTATTCGCGCTGCGAATTCGCAAAAGTTGAACACATTTCAACTCGGGCAAATTTCGTAGCCAATGAATGCTTCGTGACATCAAATTGGCTTCGCATTCGCGTTCGCATGAAGTATGAACCGGGCTTTATGCTACCGGTAGTACTTATCAAGCAAAAGACAAGTGTGTGCAGATTCATTGATATGGGCATTTATCAAACCTTGGCTGCATACATGGCTTCGGCTTTTCAGATTCAGGCCCCTGATTTGGAGCACATTACCATACATGTAGCTCAGTATTGGTCCATGTTGGTGCTTGAGGAACATCACATCTTATAAGGCTATCTTTTACACAGTATATTGGTTTGATTGGACTACAAGTACAAAGGCTCAATGGGGCTTGAGATGAAGCCACAGCTGAAATGTACCCAAGGTTTGAGAAATGGCCACTGAAATGGACTCTAAAGAGAAAGCTGAGGAAAAAGCTAGTCTTGGTACAAGACTTGATTTGTGGGTTTTTTTCCGTATTGCTTCCAGTTCTGAACCCCGAAAAGTGCAGTCAAGCCACAAGGGTGGCAGAGGTGGGATCAACAAAATGAATCCAGTCCAGTCTTGGGAACTTTCACAACGATACAAAAGAACTCTGAGCATGTACCCCACACGCGCTGTCTTCAAGCTAATGCACGCGTATGAGGTATGCTCCGCATTTCTCGGTTACCAGTGCCAAACTTCCCAAAACAATTCATCTCGTTGATAGCACCCTACACCCTCACAGCCGCTTGACCTGCTAGGGACCGGGACCGCTGCGTCCCGAAATCAAAAATCCAGTCTTGGAACAGGACTAAGGAATACCATAGAAAGAGGGAAGAAGATGTGGACAAGGGTGAGGTGGGTGATGACAGGGACATCATGCAAGCAATCCACACATTGTACTCGGCACACCTCGGCACACCACGCAATGAATGAATGAATGCTGTGAAGTCTAAGCAAACTGTGCGAGGTCTCGTAACTACATGCAGCACCACAGACCTTATTCACGAGGAGGCCATTTTGGATCTTGTTCCCTGAATCTATTTTATATATTGCAAACTGTTGAATGGGATGGTGCCAGACTATTTTATGATTGGAGTGCGTTCCAAGCCTCACTTTCAAATTTGTTTGTGTAAATGTGGCTTAAAACATTAGGGTCTGTTTAATCACAGATGTTTAATCATTCATCAGAGCCGACTGGTATTAATGTGTAATGAACTTTTTATTTTATCACTTTCATTTCTATTCGCAAGTTCCAAAAATGAAGACTTTACCTCGCTTTCAATTTAATATGGCGGACTCGTGAATAAAGTCCATTCTACCGTAGCTGTATCATTTGCTTTGATACTGGAGTCGATATTTTTGTTCTATTGCCCTAAAATTCAAAACAACCGAAGTGTTTCGTGAAATCGGCTGCTGAAAATTTGATGGCCCCTCCTACAGCATCACTTCTCAAAAATGCTCCCAATTTCTCTCAGCAAAAAACTTGAGCTACATGTAAGCACAAATAAAAAAATCGGCTGAGCATTCTTTGTTTTATGACACTTGGGTTAATAGTGGATTTTTTGTTTACCTTTTCACCGCCAGCCTCCTGATAGTGACACCATACCACACAGATACACAGAGAAAAGGGGTGACACATAGGGTAATACAGGAGGGAGGGGGGAAGGGGAAGAAGAGAGATTAAAAGTGAGGGCAAAGCTGAGACATAAGCCATGTCCGAAAGAACTTTTTTTTAGTCTACGGCTACGGCTAGTCACTGTGCCATGCCGATGCCTAAATGCCGTAGCCATAAAAAAAAGCCAATTCGAATATGGCTTAAACAACCATCGGTAACCAAGAGGTGAGCACTACATCCTATGAGTTCGTACTGGTACCCACCAGTCTCATCCACCACTGCTGGGTACAGACTGATCAGATGCTACAGAATCTTGTGCCTAAAATGCAATGCATTGTGGGTGACCCTGGATGTGGCTTGCTTGCTGTACACATGCTAAACACCAGTAGCTTGACAACCAATCAGATTGCATTTCAAATCAGTCTGTACCGGGACAGCTTATGGATGGCTCAGTGGCTGGGTACGAGTAGAAATTGGTCTTAAAGGCTGGTTCATACTCGGTGCGAAAGTAAACCCGAACGCGAATTTGTGATGCCAGGGCAAGTTTTTTGCGCTGTGAATTTGCGATAGTTGAACACATTTCAACTCCAGCAAATGTCTCATTGAATGCTTCGTGACGTCAAATTTGCATCGCATTCGCATGAAGTAGGAACCAGCCTTTAGAAGTACCAGTGATGGACAGAAAATTAGTCTGAAGTTCTGTGGAATGGGTTAGTAAGTTTGTTCAATGTGCTGGTTTTGTTTAGGTGTAAAACTACAGTTTTTCAACCTCATGTTTTTCTTTCTGATCAAAGTGGCCCTAGAATACGCAGGATTTTCCTGCAGAGTTCACATCTCCCGTCAATCTTTGTGTGTTTTCAATTGCCTAAATTAGGATACCACTTACCATACCCTCGTATCAAATTTTATTGGTAAAAACACCTTCACAGTATTAAATTTTACAGGGACTTGAGATTTCAAAAGGGATCCTATAAAAATCCTGAAATCAGGAAAAATTCCTGACAAAATCTTTTGAAATCAGGAAAAATCCTGCCAAATCTCAACCTTGTCAATCTCGAACAAAACATTTTGAGGACAAGTAACAAAATTGCAAAAAATATAAAAATGGTTGCATTCTTGGGATAATGTAAACAGGCAAACGTAAAACATCTCTCTGGTTTTCAAAGCAAGAATACATTTGAAAGAAGAAACAAATTAAAAAAAATTCCTCGGAAATAATCTTTCAGGCAAGGGACCTAAATGAAACAAATAAATACCAAAAACCAAGCTCTGGCAAGCAACTGATAATCAAAAGATAACCCACAAAAAAAACCAAAAAAAAAACAAAAATGAGTTTCATCATTGCAGAAAATATCGACGTCATGATGCATTTGTGGTGAAATTCAGAGTTGAAATGTGTTTCGCTTTTGCGAATTTCCATCACAAATATTCCTGTTTGATTTCTCGACCAAGTACGGAGTAGCCTGCAGTCGAACTACGGTTTACCAACGCTCGTTAGTTTGTAATTATTTGCCAATTAGCCGGGATTGGCCACGAAAGTCTCAACAAATTTCTAGTGGGTCCCTCGATACAGGATGTGGAAGCAAATGCCCAGAATGATACTCTGGAGAAAACCCACGGAATCAGGTAGGGACTGAAAACCCATTCCACGTATTGGCCCAGGCGGGAATCGAACCCGGGTCACAGCGGGATCTAGAATTTGAGCAACTAACTTCCGAAGGGGTGAACTGTATGGGTAACTCATTGATTTTAAAAGTTGAAATAATCTTGAGAATTTTGCTCCCTATGAAAGATTTTAAGGGGGATTTGAAACCCTGTGCCACACCATGTATGATGACTTCTAGATCTGGCACAAGTTACTTCCAAAAGGGAAACCAATTGGAAAGTCTTTGGTCTTAAAACTTAAAATTATCTTAAAAAGTTTGCTTCTTCTAAATTTTTTCTTAGTGGGATTGAATCTGCTGGACCGACCTAAATGTATGATGGACCAACCTACCAGTAACTTTACTTTACCAGGGACGGTTCTGGCAGCCATTTACTGGGATGCTTCCACACCACTGATCTCTATATAAAGACTGGATAGCGGATAAAGAGCCGCACAAAGAATGAATTTGACGCCATATTGGTGAGACAGGTGAGACCGGCTGTGGTGATCTACAAAGGACAAGTTGCCGTCTTTACAGACAGCACGATCACTTTTGTAACATCGCGGTTCACTAACCTCCACCACTGACCAAGGTTTACAATTTTTCTAACGTCGTGGTTTACTTTTTTTTAATGCCGCAGTTCACTTGTTCGGCGTTTTGGAAATAATAATCACTACGGAAATGTGTCCTTTTTAGAACATCATAATATGTGTCCGTGACTAAAATGCGTGTCAACTGTTGATACAACGCGCGCTGTAAATACGCGTAGAACGTTCGTATTAAACGCGGCCATCTTCGTGAGACCGGGGGCGAATTGGTCAATATGCAAAGTCTACTGTGTGAATGTTGTATGGATATCCGCTATCCAGTCTTTATATAGAGATCAGTGTTCCACACCTGTATGAGCGCCCATACCATGTGCATTCTGTAAAGCTCTGAACACGTTAAATGCCAAAGTGAGCTTTGGAGCGTCCCAGTAATGGTGGAAAGTCAACCCAGTAAACACAAAACAGCGGGCAACGCGGATTGGTCTATTAAGGGAAGTTATAGATCGGGGTGGAGTGACGTCAGTTTTTCATCGGTTGCTATGTGTTGCCATTCACCACTCCAGCAATTTCCAACGGTTGCTACGTGTTACCATTCAGTACTCCAGAACCACGAACCATGGAGTTTCAAGAACATACATATGGGTCAGGGAGCTAGATAAGCCAATGTAAAAAAATTCCCAGATGTCCGTACCCACCTACTGACCTTGTAAAACCCTGGATAATCCTGAGAATTTTTACACAGAAGAAAGCTTTTTGAAATGACTTGACCAACCTGTGCTAGGCCGTGTATGATGAGCGTGCTCTTCTTTGTGGGTGTCCGGGGCCGGTCGTCTTTGGAACTCTCCGAGAGGTGTTTGATAGCCGTGTCTGCGACGGAGTGCGGCCCACCGGAAACCACCAACATTTCTGTCGACCAATCAAATGAGAAAACAGATAATTTTTGGATGAATATTCATTCAAGGCAAAACGTTGGCAACTTCTACTGTCAAGATCTCTTTAGGGAAGGCTTCAATGCATTGACTGTCTGTAGAGTCTGCACAGTATTTGAATATTCCTTCACAACTCCAGCAGTAAGCTTGAGTGAGAAGTAATAAAAAAAAGCATGTAATTTTGCCGGCCAATCGCAAAAACAAAGACTAATTTCATGATACCGGTATGCATGTTGTTTAACAGATCTATGTTGTCAACCAATCAGATGCACTGTTTAAAGGGAATATACATCATTTGCTTTTGCTGTAATTTTCAGAAATGGATGGAATTGGCGGGTTGGAAATATATAGCAAATATAGTTACACTGACTTTTTTGAGGTTTTGGGTTCGAAAATGCTATAAAAACCAAGAAAAACAATCATTTTCCTGTAGTCTGGTTCCCTGACTCCATATAAGAAGAAACAGAGCAGTTTACATACATTGGGGAATTGTAAGGTCAGGGAACCAGTCTAGCTGGCTTGTACCCGTTCATAGGTGTGTAATCGATTGCAAACAAGTGCGATGGTCAATTGGGGCCAGTATTTGAAAAAAGCCAGTTTTTTCCAACGCTGGTCGGCCGACTTTTCTTGAAAATGACAGTATACCAGGTGCCATGATTTTACAGGATGCTTTACACTGTCATTCACTAACAGTCCAGCAAGGTATTTCAAAATGATTTGGTAGTTTTATTTTTTGATGTTTGCAAATGTTGTATTTTCCCTTTAACAGAAAACGAGATGAAGCCTCTAAAGCTGGTCACAGTGCTCACAAAATTCTGACTGATTGAGAATGGCTGAAAAGTCCACAGAACAAGCTTTAAGTTATGAAATGAAAAATCCATGATTGGCATTCACATGGAGACTTGACTTATTGCCTACACGTGTATCATGGAAGTACATGAAAAAAGCAGTGCCAGACTATGTGGCTAAGTTATTACCGGTACGTTCACATACATGAAGAGGCAAGCCTCTCAAAGTCAGTGAGGTAGGTAACCAGTCTAAGTCGCAAGTGACAGTCAGTTGTCAGTGAGTCAGTCGGTGAATCAGTGAGATACGAGGACACTTTTAATCAAGCCAGTAAACTTTCCGTCAACTTTCTGTGGGCTCGGCAAAACGTTTGAGTTACTTGTAAACCACACACTGCGCAACCCTAAATTTTTGCACAGCACAGCAGTGACATTATATGCAATCTCTGCCTACATGTATGTACATAAGTTGATTTTTTGCATTTAAATGATGGATTGCGTACTAGTGAGATGTCACTGTTATCATGAATAAATTTTCACTGTCCTCAATTGAGTACAATGTATGTGCGTGTGAAGCTGTGTTGAAGCTTGTTACTCTTGTTAACACAAGTATGGATTCAGTGCAACGGTTACAGAGGAAGAGTTGGGGTAGAGAGAAACATTTTAACTTATTGCTTACCCTGGTTGAGTTTTCAACCCCGCCTCATTTCACACTTGTTTTGTGCAAACCAAGCTTATTTTGTTCGGTTACTACTGTTTTTAATCCGGGACGTGAGTTTCAACCCGGGTTGAAAACCTCAGCTCTAGTCTGGAGCAGGATTGAGTTCAACCTGGGGCGTAATTAATCTCGGGGTTGACGCAGGGTTGGCGCAGGGTTGAACATTTTCAAGTGTGAACCGCTGCATGTTTTCAACCCCGCGTCAACCCCGAGATTTGTCTAGTGTGAAAAGGCCTGAAAGTGGTCACAAAGTCCCATCTACTGTTCATGTACCAAGTTCATTCTATGGAGTGCATGAATGCAAAAGTATACCCTCAGCCTTGAGGACGACTATATTCGAGTTGTGCTTTAAATTACATGATTCCAAGATGGTGGAAGGGTAACCAGTGTAAAAACTTTAACATGATTAATAGCTAATATTTAACAGTACTTCTTGTTTCTGACGTTTCATTTTGCATCATTCAATGTCATAAATATGATACTTTTCGGAGACCAAATTTGTATCTCAATATGTAACTTGGTTCCAATCCAGCAACTTCGCTCCGAGAATAGACCAATCCACTCAGCCCTGCCCCATCATGTTTGGACCAATCACAGCTGTGAATTATGTCTGACATGCAGGCACACATGCGCAACACATGCGCAACACATGCACTCGCATATGATGCGCGCACCTGCATGCACTGGCCTATTAACTCTAACTCCCCAGCCTAATTTACTAGGAACCATACCCATTCTGGCAAATTCCAACACCCACATGGGAAATTGTACACACACACTGTTGGACTTAGTTTCTGGAGGTATGCCAACCCCAGTGTAAAAGTTTAGGGGTACTGTACCTATCCCAACAGATTAAAACAAAACCTGCTGTTGAACTTTGATGGGTTGAGTTCGGTTAGGGTTAAAGATGTGCGCACCTGCATGCACTCGCGTGTGATGCTCGCAGCATGCAGTACGGCATATGTTATTACTCAAATGCGCAGTGGGCGGTGCTTAATGGATCGGTGTCAATGGGCTCCGTGCACAAGTACCCCCTCAACGGTAAGAAGGGAGAGTTGGGGAGACCACTGGGAGGGACATTCGAACGAAGTGGCATTGCTGACGAAGCCCGAAGCTCAAAGAAGCTATGGCTTTGTACACATTCAAAATAAAATTAGTCGTGCGTACTTAGCGCCATACGCGCGCGAACCAGAACACGTGGTGTGTCCCATCCACGAGGCTCTCGATGGTGGTAAATAAGCGCCCTCTCTTGTTCGCCCACGGAGCCCATAGTGTCTGCTACAGCGGCAGCCATGTTGTGCATGCCTAATGATGACATTGATCATTTGAGCAATATGACCTGAATGTTTATGTATGCAACATCTACCATAAGAGCAGCATGTGTAAACCCTGTGCAACAAAAGAGCCCTCGCTTGCTCATTGTGAAACGGTCAAATAGCGCACACGATGGATGTTTGACTCATTTGGCGACAGCCATTTTCTGAGGTGGCACCAAGCTTTGCATGAGTCGTGCTCAGGTTGTACGCACGCACTTCAGGCTCCTTTGAGCAATAGGGTTACCAAAATGCATGCGCGTGCTTCGTCTTTAAAGATATAGTCCATCATATGTAATTTGTGCATTTTGTTCGTTTGAAGCAACAAAAGTGTTCAAAATCTAATGGAGGATACTGAACAACTAACCTCATGAAGTTTCAGCTTAGCTTCAGCTGTATATTCCGAGAAAAACAGCATTCTAGGATCTCAATTTCAAATCAAAAGTTACTGAATCATGTTTTGAATTGTTTTGAATTGCAGCTATACGCGACATCGCGCACTGATCCGACGAATTATAGCAACCGCGCGCGCGTGTGCGTCGTGCCAATGCTTGCGCGCGCTTCGCCGAACGAACTACTAATTTAAATTTTCCTACGGTGCGTCTTAAGACCCACCGTTGGAAATGCCTTCTTTCATTGATTACTTCAAAATGACAGCTTCCCAGAAAGAATAATTTCACAGGGAGTTTAGTTCCCTTACTATCTTTCAACCAAGTTAGTTTTTCAACAATAATTACGCCAGTTACTTTTCGGATGGCTGCAAATGATGGACTATAGCTTTAAGAATGCATGCGGTGTGCACCCGGACGTGGTTCCACTTCAAAATGGCTGCTTTTTTTGTTCGCTGAATTAGTCTATAGTTAAATTTTTGTCTTTCCAAGCACTCAGCTTTTATGTGCAGTTAACGATTGCATGTGTTTAGTAATGTCACATGGAAAAGCTGACCAATAGGATCGAGGCAAGCAGAAAGAAAAGGGAGAGGTATAGCCCTGAGCATGCTCACAGACCTTCGACCTTAATCGTGATCTTGGGCTGGACTACAAGGGAAAGAGGAAGAAAACAAAGAAACAAACAAAACCACACAAACCAGATTAGTACCACCGACACAGTGCTAAACTCAGGCAAACTAAGGTCACTTGAGGTCAGTTGAGGTCAACCAGGCTCAGCTGAATTCGGGCAATTCACAATGCAGTGCACCACCAAGAGTTTGCCACGAAGAGTTCATTTTTCCCAGTGCATTGTGGGAGATGGTCGACAAATTCGCAGCACGGGACATTTGAAATTGTTCGTTTTTCCAGTTAGTAGTTTCTTATTAAAGCGTATGATTCGAGTATCTGTTTGCCCTTTTCTTTTCTTTTTATCAATATGGTGTTTTTTGTAAGGTGGCAGAACGCTATGCCCCAGTCTATAACATATAAGCTCAAGTTGTCTACTGACACTCATTCAAATGGCCATGTTTTGTCGACCGTAAACTTGAAAAATGGACTCTCCATGGCAAACTCTTGGTGGCGCACTGCATTGTGAATCGCCCGAATTAGCCAAATAATTTGTGGCCAGGTGACATCAAAAGGTCAGATCAGGTCAATTTAGGTCCACCTAAGGGCCGATGAGGTTAGCTGAGTTAGACGACAACAGTGAAAAAAAGGAGAGAAAAACAACTCTCGGATGTGTCAACGTTCAGAAGCATCCACAGCAAAGTCAATACAGGTTTGCGTAACATTCAGCTAAATATCTGGGTGTGTACTCTATGTCACATGATCGCCAACAAGTGCACACAAAGTCAACATTGCCAATATTTTTGCCACTGAGGGATACTTGTACATGGAGCCAATAGACTGATCTTTTCTCAATTGACTGCAATGCTCATGCACACACCACTTTATGGGTGATTTTTTTTTTTGTGCGTGGAAATATCCGTGGTTTCTCTGGCTTGTCATTATGCAACAAAATTGCCAACAAATGTCCGAAATGCGTTCACTTGCGTATGAGGCGTGTGGTTGAAACATGCAGTATGGCATTGGGGAGGTATACATGTTACTATGGGCTCCGTGCGCCAACAAAAGAGGGCCCATTTTTACCGCTTTTGAGAGCTCCATGGACGGGACACACAGCATGCGCGTACTGTACTGTACTGGTTTGCGCGCAAAGTACGCGAGACTTCCTGAATGTGCAAAGGCTATCACCACTGCATCTTCGCGTGAGCGTCAGGCGTAGTCGGTGCACGAACACATTCAAATTCAACTTACGATGGTCTCCAAGACTAATCCCCGCCTCTAATAACTTTGGATATATTCGAAATATGCAGAGAATGAATCGGGAACCAGTCTAGTCACCCCCAACTCTCCTTTTCTGGCCGTTGATGGGGTACTTGTGCACGGAGCCCATAGCCATGAAAGAGCAGCCACTGGCCATGACAGCATACTGTTCAACACATTGGTCACGAGGTTGAACTCAAGTATTGCTTCAGACTAGAATCCCAGACACCATATTCAAGAACAAACATTGAGTTGCAGTATTGAAAAGGCACCCGACTATTCCACACCAATATCCCAGATATTTGGATATGCAAAGGATCCATTACCACGTCAAGACAGCAGCCTGTGGTAGTACAGTGGAACGCCGCTATAACGAACATCGTTGGATCCACAGAAAGCGTTCGTAATAACGATCGTTCAGTATAGCGATTTTGAACCGCCGGTACCTTACCAATAGTGAACTGGCATTTCTCATGAGTGGTTTTCCCTTCTATTCCTTGCGGAAATAATAGCCATCTATCGCTCTTCCACATTCAAACATGATGTAACTATGGGTCGCTTGATGTTCGGGAATTAAAAGTGGCCCAAATAGTACATGTACAACCGGTAGATTTTTTGTTAATCTGTTGACTTTTTTCAACAACAATGTTCGGTACGTTTTGTACATTAAAACCAGGAGCCAAGGATGATGTTCGGTATAGCCGAATGTTCAGTATAGCGGTGTTCGGTATAGCGGTGTTCCACTGTACAATGTTCAACGCCACAGACTGTCTCATGGATGCCATCATCTTTGTTATCACTTGGTAATTATTGAGAGTATTTCATTACGTCCCATCATGCCATTGTATCCACTGCATGATGGGACCTTTTTTTTCTTCTTGATGAAATGCCCCCAAAGATTAGCACGTGATCACAAAGATGGCGGATGGGATGAGGCTACAATAGAGGGTCATTGGAGGTCATTGACCTTTTAACCTTTGACCTGTACCTGGGTCAGTCATGGTAGAGCTGTTGCTGTGTCGCTGCTCAGCTGGTACCTCCATCGTGTCGGCCGGCGGCGCGTCGGTGAAAGTAGCCAGTTGTGGCTCGGGGAGGATCGAGGACGTCGTCAATACCCTGGTCGGCATTTCTGGGAGAATCAACAGAATAAACAAATTAGATGGTTAGAATTTTGAGGAAAGACAAAATCATCAGAATTAACCTTGAAATAGTGAGGGGGCCGAGACTGCATTTTGGATTCTGTTCTCCTGGTGCACCCCGTAAATTCTTTGTTCCTGTATGGGCTCAGTGTTCCAACAAGAGAGGGCACTCTTGAGAGCCCTGTGGTCAGGACACACCGGGTTCACGTGCGTACAGCACAAAGTACACATAACTTATTTTGGGGGGTGGGTGGGTGGTTTGGGGTTGGGTGAGGCTGGAAGTCCCCGCCCCATTCCTGTAAGATTACCCCAAACCCCAGCTCTTTTAGGGCTAGAAAATACACTTTTTAATGTTGTCTTTGGTGTTTTGTACTTCTGACTTCCATTGACTAGATCCTGGAGGTATTCCCAAAGTGAAACGGTCGATCTTTCAACTGAAGTCGCTCCTTACTGTTCAAAAAGTCTTGATGAACTTAAATAAAATCTTTGGAGTAACTTGGAATAAGCAGTGGAACTCTGGAGTGACAGACAGTAAGTGATTTGATATAAATTTGAAGGCTTGTATCATTTTCTCTCACCGTTGCTGGGTCCGCGTCGGTCGCCCAATTGCTTGGGTCTCGCCGTGGTGGTAGTCACCGTGGTGATGATGGTGCCGTCCGGGGCCACGGTGCGCTGAGTCTCCACGCGCTTAGTCGGCGAGACCGGGTGACGGGGCTTGAAGCCGGTGGAGTCCATCCAGACCTGGTCGGCTGGCTCCATGAAGAGGAACTATGACAGGGGAACAGAGAAAGAGAGTCCAGGGTGAAATCTGGATCAGGCTTGGGCAGCTCTCACCTGTCTTAGGGTGCGCTCCACTCAAGCTAACACAGACTTGGGTCAAGACGTTGTATATTGGTGAAGCAATCACCCACTGGAAGAGGGCATTATCAAAACGAACCGCTATCACCCCATAAACTTGCATCACAACAACGTCTTGAGAATCGCGCACACATCTGTTTTGCCTAATGTATGTAGCGTGCATTCAACACATTGTTTCAGCTTCGAACCAAACTCTGAAATGTTAGCCAGTAGCACACAAGATGCCACCAGACTTTTGTGCAACATTGTGGTAGCTCTTTTCTCACAGGTAGTACACATCATGCTACCAAAAATGGACCATATTTGCCTGCAGCAGTAGAGCATGTGCATCAATTTGCCCCAATTTGCAGGGGGAGATTTTACAAGATTTGACGTCGTTTCTCAGACCCGAGAAATTATGTGCTTACCTCACGCAGGCACGTTAGTTTTACAAGCTCAGTGAAGCTGCTGCAGCAGTAGAAGGCGCTATCAATGCAATGTATCAAATCTGATCTTGGGAACTTTGGCACTCAGACCCGAGGACCTTCCAGGCTTACCGGTACCTGACGCACGCACATTTGCTCTACAAGCTAGTCAAGCTGCTGGCGAGGCAGAAGGCGATGTCGATGATATGAATCAAATCTAATCTTGGGAATTTTGGCACCCGCACCTGAGAAATTCCAGGCATACCTCACATGCACATAAGCTTGCATATAGTGCGCATAATAAGGTACATGTATGCTTTGAATTGCTCTGCTCTGAGTGCAGTTTTGCCATGAGTGGATAGCATGACAAGGCAGAACGCAAGCCAAGGCAGCCAGTTTGCCAAAAACAACTAGCCAATCATGCCCAATGAATGGGAGGTTTGCGGTAACACCATGTGAATGACACCTCTTAGTGAGTTGTATGGTTCTGAGAAGAACCAGTTGGTTTAGCTCGACGTTTAGAACAGCATGCTCTGTTTGTCATCAGGAGATGAATTGTGCCCAATTGCATGAAAGCGACACCTCTTAAACAAAACTTGCTTAGCCTGTATACGTGCTAAGCAAGAGAACCAGCCACAAGCAGTTAACATTACATGGAGTGTTTGGTTGGTAACCTGCTCTTGCTAAGCAAAATGTTTTCGCACATAGCAGTTTTGTGTCTTGTAAGCATTGCCCATTCTAGTGGGGCAGATAGGAGAAATCTATCTATTAATAACCAAGTATTTTTCTCATGACATACTCTGACTGTGTGCCAACTTGCATGTTTGTATCGTAAAAGGCGCAATCCCATCACCTATGTGCAGTACTATTTTATCTTGGGAGAATTGCTTTTTCCCATAAGAACACAAACAATTCCAAATCTAGAAACATTCCTAAAAGTAGAAGAAAAGTTTCACGTTTTGAGACATTCCATTACTCATGCCACCCTTTTTACATGCTTTAAAGTAAAAGTCGAATACGCATAAAAATTATATACATTTACAAGTGTCAATGTTTAATGAGTACTGCCACCAAAGGTTAAACTCTTAAAAAGTTGCATTCATTTAATAGCCAGGTAAAAAAGTTACATCAATTTCTGTACAGAGTTCATGCAATGCAGAAATATAAATTTAATGTATATGATACCTATCATGCCTATAGTTATGTGCTTGAATGGACTCAATGCACGAAGACTAGAAGGCATTATTTTCTGGTTTGTGTATGTACATGTACATGTATTGTGCAAAGTACTGGTACATTTATACACACAACTTTTTTTTTTTTCCAGGTGAAAAATTTCAGTTGAAACCAGTTCAACTGGTTTAGTACACGTACATTGTACCAGTTAAGCTAGAAATTGTTGATCGGTTTTGAAATGGTTCAACTGGTTTTGAACTAGTTAAACCTGTTCAAAACCAGATAAACCAGTTACCAGTTCAAAACCAGACACTAAGTTCCAGTTGAAATTTTCACCTGGGTTAGTATCACGAAAATTGTTCATGGCGTTCTATCCAGATCTACAAAAACTCATAGGGAGGGCTGTAGTCTATCATAGGGGACATTCTACAGAGATGCAGAATTCTTCCCACGACCGGTAAACGAGGATTGCATACATGTGTCAATCAGTTCATGGCATTCCGCAATCTGTAAGTGGTGTAGCATTCCTGATCACAGACCTATACAAGACCTACATTAAACACAGAACACTGAACAAGCAAAGGGTCTAAAATTCCGCTATGGCTCCAAAATGCACATTCGCCTTGCTTTCCGTTGCACAAACAAAATCCCTGATTACCATAGAGCATGCTTAATGGATTAATGTTTCCATGGGAAACAGGAGCAAGGGGAAGGGGTCTGGACTCCGTGCACAAACAACTTTTCATCAGCAGTGCGTATAACACTGTCTATGTATGGGTGCGTTCGATTAGCTAACCCGGGTCGTCTCGAGTTAGCCCCGCACCGGCTCTGACGTCATACTCGGGACAGAAATGCTTTGGTGATTAGGCAACTGTGCATTAAGGTCCATACGTTCTTCTGCCAGGAACACGACAATTTGAAGTCCAAATATAATTGTTTACTGATCTCATTGCCACTTATGAGGCTATTATTCCAGTTCAACGTTGTTACTTTTGGATGTTGACAGAAAAGCAGATCTCAAAGTCAGACTCGGTCTAAAAGGGGTTTTTCACAAGGGGCCGTATCATAAGTCCGACGCCTCATAGGTCCGACGCCTCATAAGTCCTAAATTTCGGACTTATGAGGCGTCGGACTTATGAGGCATAAAATTTATTTATTCCGCCTCATAGGTCCGACGCCTCATAAGTCCGACGCCTCATAAGTCCGACAACGGAAAAACGAGGCGTTTAATTTGTCGGACTTACGAGGCGTCGGAGCTATGAGGCGTCGGATCTATGAGGCGTCGGACTTATGAGGCGTCGGACCTATGAGGCGTCGGACTTATGGGCCTTTATTTGGTTAGGGGATGCAATTTTGTCGGACTTATGAGGCGTCGGACCTATGAGGCATCGGACTTATGAGCGGACCCCTTTCACAATATGGCTGTGGTTGTCATGAATGGGACTAGCCCCTTGGGTGCACAAAATTTAGACTGTGACCAAGACTACCTCTGCCCGGTACGCACGCACTGATACCAGAAGGAACAGGGAAGGTGCACCAGCTAAAAGATTACCGCTAAATAGCGCCCTCTTTAGTTCATGCATGGAGTCCATTGGGAATGAGGTAATTAGGGGAAAGAGAAGGGGGTGTGGGTTCAGCAGGGAGAGGGGTAGTTGTGGGAGATTCTCACCCCTTCATTTGCCTCCCAGCCTTGATCTCCGGGGAAAAGGAACTACAGGGAAGGACAAATTATTACAAAATTATTTTAAAAAAATCAAAATAAACATTTTGAAGTTGCTCTCCCTACACTATTTTTTCAGTTTCACCATAAAAAAAAAAATATTTTCTACAATTTCTATTTTTCAAGCAATCGAAAAGTTTTTCACTTTTCAGTGAAAAGATGAACAAAAAATGAGTCCAATATTAATTATGCAATAATTTATTTTCAAATATTGAATTATCTGTGGGCCAGCAAAAGTTTTGGTGGTTCATTTTGTGCAAAACTGCACAAAAGAGTACCAATATGAATTTTGTTCCAGTTGGTTGCAGCCGCCAAAAATAGATGAATTATTTTAACCCACAGATTTCAAATTGTTAAGAAAAAAAAATGAATTTGTTCAAAAACACGAGGAGACTAACTATTAACTGAATACTTCAAAGTACACCAAGAAATGTCATGGGCAAGTAATAAACTACTTGATCAATTATTTAAGCACAATACGATCTTAAAGTTGCATCAACCGTGCTCTTTAGCAAATTTGTTTGTTTCTGTTTAACAAGAATTTACAACGTGTATTTTTGATTGAAACCCCAAAATTACTCTTTTTATGTTTTGGGCGTCCGAAACCCTCTGAAAAAAAGAAAAACACATTTATATCATATTCAGATTCACCTCTACGAGCAGACTGGTTCCCGGTCCGTATATTATCGATACTGATTGTGGCATGGGAACCAGCCTATCCAGCGACGACAGAATTAATGTCAGGCCTTAAGTAATTTGAAAGTTGTGAAGTAACAATTCATTTACGAACTACAGTTTTTCTGTCGTCGTCTCATTCAAAAGTGAATAACTTTTGTGTTAATAGAAAAATAGCAATTAAAAAAAGGAGCGCGGAGAATGCATCTTTAAACCTTTACAAGGGGAGTCAGGTTGCCGTAGCGGTACTTTCCTCGCCTTCCACCGCTGTGATCCGGGTTCGAATCCCCGCTGTGACCCGGGTTCAAATCCCGCCCGGGCCAAATATGTGGATTGGATTGTCTTCTCTCTACAGGTTTCTTCAGGCTTTCGAGCCTCAGTACTTAGGGTACTTTTGAGGAATCCTTGGTTTCATTAACAGAAAGAAATAAAATTAAAATAAAAAAAAACATTGGAAATACAAATCATTTTCACAACAAAAAGAACATTGGCCTTATTTTTCCCTGTTGTCAGAACCAATAAATGAGTTACATCTATAATGACATTGACATGTTTGCATTGCAACTACTCCTTGCAACGATGGTACCTCAACTTCTCACCATGCTCAATTATGGCTGTTGGTGTGTCAAACTCAAGTTACCAGTCTTATTTATGGCAGACCGGCAAAAAGCAAGTGTGTACACACACTTACAAACTAGTGGTTCTATCATGAATAAAAATGTACATGCAAATTATGCTAATTATGCTAATAAAATGCAAATTTTTATGTTTATAATGTGTCGTATACTGGTTTGTACAAAAACTGTGTATAGTCACAAAAAGTGCTGCTGTGGTCAATGGCAGTCATGCTATCACTGCAAATGCTGATTTTTTTTCAACCAACCTTTTTGGGCCACAAACAAACAATTTGGCCACAAGCCCAATTTTGGCCAGTGTTCATTTTTTGGATACCAACTCATTGTTACATGTAGGTGCAAGTCCATTTTGGCCATTGGCTCTCTTGTTACTAACCAATTTGGCCATCAGCCCAATTTGTTTTGGCCATCAGCCCTTTTTTTGGCCATCAGCCCTTTTTTTTGGCCATCAGCCCTTTTTCGGCCATCAGCCCATTTTTTGGCCATCAGCCCTCTTTTTTGGCCATCAGCCCATTTTTTTTGGCCATCAGCCCATTTTTTGGCCATCAGCCCATTTTTTTTGGCCATCAGCCCATTTCTGGCTGTCAGCCCATTTTTGGCGGACTACTCTTTTTTGGACATAAGACAATTACTGACCATCAACCCACTTTTTGGCCATCAGCCCACTTTTTGGCCAACAGCCCACTTTTTGGCCATCAGTCCACTTTTTGGCAAACAGCCCATTGTTGGACATTTCAGCCCATATTTGGCTGACAAGCCCAAACTTTAAGTCCAGATTTTTTTTGGCCACACATCTGTGGCCATCTTCCTAATACAAATGTAAATGTACATGTACATGAAGTAAATGACATCTGTACATATTTTAAGTGACTTGCACTGTTTTTTTATGCCTTGCACTGTTTTTTTTATGCCTTACACTGTTTTTTTATGCCATGAGAGGATGTCAGTTCTGAGTATGTATGAAGCTTGATCTTCTTTTGGGTCAGCGAGTATGAAGGCTTGCCAATCATAGGCAACTGCAGAATTGTGAAGAAGGTTTGCAGACAATCTGCAGAAGCTTGCCCTAATTCAGTTGCCCTTTACTTCTTTAAACGCTAACATCTTCAGAACCTGGACTGCTTTTTGCAAACGCTGTATTCTGGGAGGAGAGCAGATGGGTTGAGTTGGGCTGAGGTGGGTTGAGATGTGTTGGGGTGCATTGTGTTGTGATGTCTGGGTTGGGTTGCGTCAGGTTAAGGTGGGTTGGGTTGGGTTTAGTTTGTTTCTGCATTCAATAGGGGACGTTGAGCAATGGAGGACAATAGGGTCCCCAATTCCCGAAGGGTCCCCAATTTGGCGATGTGTACAAAACATGTGGGCGGTCTTCCCTAAAAGTTATAGTACAAACAAAAGAGGGACAATAGGGGGTCCCCGATTGCAGGCAATGGGTTGGGGATGGGTTGGGATTAGGATGGGAGCATATATGCATTCTTGCATTCACTGTTTGCATCAAAAGTTGAGGGTTTGTTTCCTCACCCGTTCCTTAGCAGAGGGTTCTGGCGAGAACTCTTGAGGACAATACACAAACTGGACAAAACCAAAACCAAAAAAAAAGGGGGGGGGTGGGGTGACAAAAGAAACAAAAACACATTCGTCACGATATCTAAATTTGGCACATGTTGGATATAACAATAAATCAAGAGTGGAAAATACAAAATTACGAATCTTTTGAAACATTAAAACGATCCTTTAATAACCCTAAAACAGGCAAGGTTTGTACATGTAATTTACACTCATACCTTTTTTCACTGCTATGCACTTCGATTTCTCTTGCTCAAAATTTTTCGATTTTTATAACATTTGGACAAACTGTTTTTAAGCAAACTGTCAATTTTTTTTTAGTCTGTTCATGTAACTGGACACAACTTTGCAGATGTACAATGTATATGAACTAAGCTGGGATTTCCCGACAACGAAATTTGAATGAAATCTGTCGCAGCGAATATAGATGAACAGGAAATACCTGGATTTGTGAAAACTGATTTATGAAATGACTCATGAAAATTGTTCAATTGAAACCTCTCGGTATCGACTCAGCTGGAAAAAAAAAATCGTGCAAAGAACCCAGAACACCAAAACAGGCAAAAGCACTTCCCCAAAGCTGTAATAAGTCTACGGCAAGACAATCACAAGTCAAACCCCAAGTACAGTTACAGGTAAAAGTTTAACCCTAACCGCCCTGAATCCTTCAAACTCCTCTTTGCCAAAGTGGAGGAATTTGGAGGATTCAGGTTACATGGCAAAAGTGCGTTACTGATTTCGTAGGATGCACTTTGTCAAGGCCTTGGGCCGGACCTGGTGTTGTTTTTGCTCGGCCATGCATCAGGCCTGGATTATGCTTGAAATCCTCCGTACCGGTACTCCAGGATGTCACTGGCCAAGCCTCAACATATTGACAGTCACTGCCGCAGGATTTTGCAGGATTCAGGCAGTGGTCACCCCTCCATGGACCATATTCAAGAAATATTGGAGGATTTTGCAGGATTGAGGCTATATGCTATTTTTCAATGAGGCCAATTGGAGGATTGTGCAGGATTGAGGCTACATCCTAGCAAAAAGGCCTAAGGAGTTAGGGTTAAGAAGCATGAACTATAAGGCAAAAAAAAAAAATAGTCGGTCTCTGGTCAGACTGAAGTTCCGGGATTAATGCGGCGACGCGGCTTCTTTTTTTTTTCAAGCTTGTATTGTACAGACAAGGTGGGTACTATTTTGCCTTTTTGTGTCCTCATTATACATTGGTGTCCTCCATAATTTGCCTTGGTGCCCTTTATCATTTGCCTTGGTGCAATTTCCCCATTCCCTGGTGCTCCTTGGTACAAAAATTTGAGGAGGCGCGGCAATAGAGGGCGCTGTTGTAGCTTCCGTGTTAATTTGAAAAAAAAAAAAAGGTTGATGCGCATGATTAAAATTGACGCGCGCGCTGACCAGAGACCGAGTATTTTTTTTTTTTTTGGCCTAACAAAGGAATACCTTTGTCACAGATCACTTGAATAGCTTGTGACTTGACTTGAGACTGCAGGACTTGTGATTGACTTGTAATTGACTTCTGAAGACTTCTTTCTAATTCTTTTTGCCCCTCTCTGTTTTTTTTTTTTTTTATAAATTATATCATACACTGAACAAAAACACTGACAGAATAGGGAGCAAAACTTCTACAACCTGTAACCCACCACCAAATCACTGCCGAGGCCCACTATCTTTCTTCTTCAAATCCGAAAAGAAATCATGGAAAAATTTTTTAAAAATTGGCAACACCTCGGTGAGTGGAACGCATCCCAGAAAATGAATAGAAAAGTATCTTCAAATTTTTGTATTTACCAGTACATGTAAGTCCGCCGTCTGTATTTGAATATTCAGCATGCCGCGACGATCTGGGCTGCTTTGCGCTGCTTTACTGGCCTCTTTGCTCTTTTCAGTTGGTGCGGCGCAGTGTGGCGCAAAAGTCCTGGGCACAGCTCATTACGATTGGATAGTGTACTGACAGATTTATTCTGAAAATTGGGACACTCTACCTGGAAGCCACACGGCCCACCCAGCACGCCGTTAAGATATAGGTGCTTGGTTTGCCCTGGCGCTAGCCGTGAAGCCTGTTGTTATTTATGCATTTTCCACCAGTGTCGCACTGCGCTGCATATTGGCACGTCGAGGGTGACCATAATGCAGCGCTGTGCAGTGCTGTGTGCGGCACAGTGCGGAAGCTCTCGGCATGCTTATGAAATTTTAGTGGACGGCGGCCCTAATCGTAAAGCAATACCCTAGGAAACTGACATATCTGAAACACTTTTGTTTTGGACAAAATACCTGAAACTGAACAATGACCGCGGTTATCCATATTTCAGACATTCTGTCCAAAACAAAAGCATTTCAGACATTTCTGGAGCGTGAATACTACATGCAATGTATGAATGAAGCTTGATTTTCGTTCTCTGTCTATCAATGGCTCAAATGCAACGTTATTGCAAGCAATGGAACTCAGCATTTTTTTGAGACTGGATTTTTCTCACCCTCTTCAACATTTCCGATTCGGTTTCCTCGGGCGACAGTGAGAACACAAACTAGGGGAAGTGACAGAAGTGCGTATAAAAGGTGTTATACTGGTAGTGTACAAGCATTACATTCACTGTGTGGACTTCCGAACAAAAGATGTCCACATAAAGCAGGTAGCAACGACGTTGTGTGGACTTGCCCACGTCCACACAGTGTTTGCCCCTCTCTGGAAAACAGGTTCAGAGGCATTTTTGGGTTAGGTTTATCCGTCGCAAAATAGAGAGAAATACTCAAGGGAATCATAGAAAAAAAGCAGAGTTGTAGTCGAGTACCGGTACTTTCCGAGTACCAGGTTTACTTCCAGATATTAAGATGGCTTTGGTATGGATAAAGCTGCATAATACAGACATTGGACAGTAAATTCCTACCAAAAGAATTAAAGACTTTGGACAAACAGAATCTTGTAAAAACTAAGCTTTTGAGACAAAAGCATTTGAAAAGTACTCGCCAAGTACTTTCCGAGTACTTTTCGAGTGCTTCCTTTCCAAAATTTGAATTGAAAATGTATTTTTGAGATATGTCTGAAGTCTCAGGTTTATTTGTTTCCAAACGTTAATAACATTAGCTATCTACTGTCAATGTTTCTCTCGCATTGTTTACAAGAAACAGCTCAATATTTAGTAGCAAACAAATTACTCGAACAGTACTCTGAAAGTACTCAACTACATCTCTGAAAAAAAGTTGTGTTTGGAAAGTTTTCACAGTGTGAGTAAAATATTTTTTTCCTCCGGTTTTCCTTAACTGTGTGAAAACAAAGGAATGTCCACATACCGGTAGGGTAGGTAAGGTGGGCCTGTGTGTACTCATAGTGCATTCCCACTAATGCATGCAGTGCGTACCAAGTGTGCTAAAATTCTGGTCAAGATTTTGAAACGAAAGTCCCTTGAAAAAGTCGGCTCTCATTAGTATAGGCCACACCGCACTATCTGTGGCTCCTGAACTGGATGATAATGCTTAGGGCTAATAATGAAGCAAACCAGTATCGGTACCAAGACCTATCGGTATCAATAATTTGATATTAAACTTAACCTGTAATATTATATTTCAATTTATTGTAAACACTGTACATCCAAGGACAGCATTGAAATAAATGTTACTACTACCACCGGTAGTGTCACGCCTCCCACACTCACGTGCCGGACAACCATAATCACACGCCTCACAATTGTTCTAAAAACACATTTTTGGGGTTGTTTTCGTGTTTGGGTTAAAGTTACAGCCCATCATGAGCAGCTATCCAAAAAGTAACTGACGTCTTATTATTGTTGAAAAGCATACTTGGTTTAATTAAAGAAAGTAATGGGACTAAGGGGCCATTCAGAATTTTCAATGTTTTAAAATTTCGATCTTTTTTCCAAATTGTGGGTGGGTGGGTCAAGCTAAATAATTGAAAATCGAAATTCACTTTCCATGGAAAAAGATAAAAAAAGAAAAGAAAGATAGATCTTTTGACTTGCCTGAACTACGCGCAAGCGTTCCGATATCGCGATGCGTGTTTCTTTTCCAGCTTCGTCCCCTGTATGTACTGTACATGTACATCATGTACGTGTAAACACCGGTACTAGACCCACCGTGGCATGAGAGGGAGGTGATTTTTCAGTAGACTTGGACGCCGGGTGTTTGTAGCGGTTAGGCCATGCAGAGGCAGCAGGGTACCAGGTGTACTAGATCAGCTCTATAACACGCCGCGGGCATCGATTACCAATTGCTATAAAAACTGGACTATTCAACCACTGGACTCCAAGTCTACGAGGACCGCAGCCTGTGATGTGATGTCTGCCCAAACCTGATGTTTTTCTTTCACTCGTACCCCCCGCCCTGCAAACAGCTACCTCACGTGACAGGCACAACCTCGTATGTCACATGTCATCCACCTCATCCAGAAAACGACAAAACCACGGTCATCTTTGTGGCTTCCAAAACTGCAACCTGTCATTCCCAACAGCATATCAGCTGGCAAGACACAAGAAAACTGAAGGTCACCAGTGCAAAAGAGGAAGACCGACAACTTCACGCCGTCACTGAACTAGACACACATGTACATGTACATGGTGTTCAAGTATATGTACATGCAAGTGCATGTACATGTACATGTTCAGTTTTTTATTAATCGAAATTAGGGGTGGGTGGGTGGGTCAAAATAATTTGGAAAAAAAGTCGAAATTTTAAAACACTGAAAATTCTGAATGGCCCCTAAACTCTCTGTGAAATTATTCTTTCTGGCAAGCTGTCATTTTGAAGAAATCAATAAAAGAAGACCATTTCCCACTGTGCGTCTAGACATGCTAGAGACGCATTCTTGGAAACTTCCGTTAGTATAGTTCGTTTTTAATTCTGCAAAGCGAGTATATTGAATTGGACATGTACACACATACTGAAAGTTGTATCCTTGTGGAGACATTTCTTTGTTCTCGTGTAGTAAAGTTTTCGAGTTTGAAAGTGAAGTTTCAAAATGCTCTTATTTTATAACCAGAATTAATTTCCTTGGCTGAAATTCGGACTTAAACTCCCTTTTCTAAAACTCTTCCATTTGCGACAGATCAACCAACCTGGGAAATTCCTAGTTTTTTAGTAAAATCCATATATCTATTTCGTGAAAACCTTGTGGAGACGTATTCATCTATAGAAATTGCCATGTAGAGACGTATACAATCTTTTGTTTCCTATTGTGTGCACGTCTCCAGAGGGCACGGTGTATCAGATCATGTACATGTATGTTAACTGAACATAGAACATCTCCATGAAATGGGACCCTGAATTCTGCAGACTAAGAATAAATTCTCACTACAACCCTCCCTCACCCCTCCCCAGAAAATGACATTACATATTTACTGGTACCCTGTACCTCCTCTGAGGGTATGCATTTCCAAGGCATCTGCTGCCCTCTACTGATCACACTTTACACCAGTGAACATTTAGCAGAGATACATGAGCCCCAAGGAGCCAGAGTTGTAAACAAGCCTTCACAAGTCGACACAAGTCCTCACAAGTCATCACAAGTCAATATCCATGACACGTCAAGCAACTATTCAAATGAACTTTGACAGAGGCATTCGATCCTTTGTAACATACACAAGTCACCAGCCAAAATCTCAGCCCATGTGTTCATGAACGTGCACATACATGTACATGAATGTACATGTGCATGTGACTCGTGATTGACTTTTGTCCTGACATGTGATTGACTTGTGATTAACATGTGATTGACTTGTGATTAACATGTGATTGACATGTGACTGACTTGTGACTAACTACATGTACATGTACATGTACATGTACATGGAAGTTACATGTAAGCACTGTGAAACATACTACCTGTATCTGTTTCTCATCATTCCTGCATGGAACCGCAAACTGCACCACTTGTCCGCGTCTCATCACCACTCATGTACGGTACATATAAATGAAAGTCCACTCCCACAAGACCTTTCTGTTCCCACAAATTGAACGAGATTTGGAGTGCAGGGATATCGAATCCAGACCCCCGAGTGTGCATGAAGCATGGATGTGTGTCATTCACTCATCACACCATGAGACTTGTCTGAGACTGCATCGGAATCGCATGGCTGTGGCTAGCTGCTATTAGTGGATTTAGCTGCTATCCATAGACACATGGAACTGCTAGCCGTAGTCGAGTAAGAAGAAGACCTAACCTTCACACAGCACGTACATGTACAGTGTACATATCCTACTGGCTTACGTGGTGGCATTTCTTACCCCCAGCGGAGATGACCTTTTGATGTCATTAAAACTATGTCTGTCATTTATCACATTGGTGTTGGCGATGACCGAGCATAGCACAGATACCGTACCTCGGAATTTAGCATGCGCAACTTTTCCGAAGGCGATCCCTGGATGCTTTCAAGTTTCATTAACCCAAACTTAATGCGAAGAATCCCCACTATCTATAGCATCAAATTCTGCGCTAGTGCTCAGTGTTCATCAGACGTGAGGACACGTCACTAGACAGTCTTGCTTTGTCTGTTGGCGGCGCCAATATCTACTGGCACGGCGTAGTGTTTCTTATCATATGCTGGGTTTGAGGTAGTCTGAGTATCACCCGTTATCCACGGAGCCAAGAGTCTCCGGTATAATGTCTGATATGTCTAGACATGCAGATATATGCAAGCCGCGTGCCAACCAATCGGAGTCGACGTTACTAAATCATGACGTCATTTCATTCCCAAATCAGGACTAAATGGTTTGATTGGTCATTTCAAATGCAGTTTTTGTAATGCAACAACAGCCGGGTGCGATATCACATAACATGATACAGAGCGCGAGACACAGTTTTTTTTCCATCCATTGTCTATGACGCGCAACGGGTGAATGACTGAAGACCCGATATAGAAAGCACCCTCGCTGATTGGTCAAAATCTAGAGATCAAGAGGCAGTTGTCTTGCCTAATTAATCAGCGAATCTGCTCGCATTACCATAGACCATTCGCCGTGGTCTATTAATTAGACTAGGTTTGAGGTGTCTAACATGAATATTCATATTCTCTTGATTCTTAACCAATCGGACTGCTCTGTCCACATCTGGTAGCAAGTCCCATGGGTTTGTGTACAAAGCCGGAAACAAGCTGTTCAAGTCTGTTATTGGAGTCAGAGTACACACATATTGGGTCGAGGACGTACAACCACGCATCCCTGTGAGTAAGTGCAATACCGCATGTTGCAAGTGATTTGCGGGGTGGCATGTGGTACCCGTCCATAATGTCGCGCAGATCCACCTCTCGGGCAAAACAAACAAATCGCATCGCGATCCAAACAAAACAAACAAACAAACAAACGGATCTCGGATCAGGATCTGTACGAAACAAACGGGCCCAGTTCTTTACATTTCTACTTTTCGGTTCAAATATTATGAATGTTGGAAATGTTTTACATCAGTGCCCGTCCGTGCATATTTCAATTATTGTGTCCCAAAACAAAGAAGGTTCAGACATTTTAGGATTTACGTGTATCCGCTCCGTTCACCAGTACCCCCTCACCGGCAAAGAAAGTACAGTTAGGGGTGACCGACCGACGCCATCTTGCCTGACTGCAATAATTTGCCGTGACGCACGGCCGTACCACCAGTGTGTGTGCATAGTACAAATCCCCTGGTGTACATGGGTCACATACAAGGAACGGTGCGCATCAACCAGCTAAATGTCCCGCCCATGGGACGTCGTTGCTAGGTAAAAGGGCGCCCTCTTTGTTCGCGCACGGAGCCCATAATAAAGACTGTGGCATGCTCTCAAGTTGAACTTGCACACTGTCAAAATGTTATCACTTTACATCCAGAGTCCATTAACCATAATCCACTGGTATTTTTTGATAAGAGCCTTTTATCCCCTATAATTCTCAACTGCTCCGGATATCAATTGAATATTCTTTCTACTTTCGACTTCCTAAGCTGTGCAAGCAGATATCGTTAAATTCTATTCTCCCTGAGATATTTGCGTGTTTCGTTGCAGCCCCCAACCCAACAACTACAGGGCTGGGACAACAGCTAATCCGGTGAGCACTGATCTACATTAACTTTTAATTTTCTATGCTCTATACACAGTGCTACGCAGCATTCCTACATTTTGTTCAACTACAGGGTATTGTTGGAAAGAATTGAAGAGCATCCCACTGTACAAGTGAACAGCCACACAAATTCTTGATAGGTCATTCAAAGACAAACAATGTACACATGTATGCGCATGTATCAATATCAATTAGTGATCCAACTAGAGTGAGTAGTCCCATGTGTGGTTTTCATTGTCTACACAATGTATCAAATTAACCAGGAGATTGTAACCATGCCTGCAATCGAGTGGAGTGTCATGGCCTAGCGGTTAAGAGCACCGGACTCATGCTCTGGTGTTTCAGAGGCAACAGTGACGTGGGTTCGAGCCCGCCGGCGGACACTTGTGCCCTTTAATAAGCAAGGTACTTAACCATTCTTGCTTCGTCCTTCAGATGGGACGTAAAGCCGTAGGTCCTGTGTGTTGTATAAGGCCTAACGCACGTAAAAGAACCCAGTAACGCTTATTTCGCTAAGAGAAGGGGTTCGCCCCCGTGTTTCTGGCAGGAAAGATGTGTATACATCATGTGCGAGTATACTCCAGTGGAGGTTTCTGCACAGTTTAGGAAGATGATGAGATGATGAATGTCTCTTTGCGAGCAACTTGAAGCAGGGGTCACGCACTATGCCTTCGTGCTAGTCACATGTGTAACGCCGTCACCAGCAATACTTTCAGATTTTTGAAACCCTAAACTCATCATCTGTTGTTCGAGTAGACTGGTTCGCGGTCCCCACATTGTGAGAGGTGGCAGAAACCAGTCTGCCCTGCAAGCACTGAAGTATGTCAGGCCGCAAATAATTACAAATTTGTCTCGTACTTAATCCATAACTAAGCATAGGCAGTTTTTTTTGTCGGTCGATGTGTCATTCAAAAGTGAATAACTTTTGCGTTGATAGAGAAAGAGTGATTTTACATGTAAAAACAAACCTATTATTTTTTTTTTGGGGGGGGGGTTTACACTTGAAAACACCATGGACATAATAGTGTCTTAATTTAAGCTAAATTACACATCTTACGACAGAAGGTGCATTTCACACGACTCATTTATAAAAAAAAGCATCTTCTTGGTTTCAGAGCTGCTGAGCAATCCCTGAATATTATTAACCCTGTCTGGAAATTAACCATGTCAACTATGTATGTTCTTCTCACCTCCACCGTGAGCGATCCCTTGATATTGTCGCTCTCGCTCAGTCGGCCCTGCAGGGGGATAATCTGCCTACTGCTCGGGTTGCGCTCCAGTGAGTCCAGACAAATCAACGCCTCGCCGAGAAACTCGTCTGGAAAGCAATCAAAAATTCATTAATTCCAAAGATGAACAAAGGAATTGACAGGAGTGGGGTTTGAACCAGCGAACTCCGGATTACTGAACCGACGCTCCACCAAATGAGCTATCCAATCCTACCGAAATGTTGGGGCCAGTTCCTCTTTTTGTCAGTATCTTTGTTCAAAAGGTGCTAGTGAGAAGCCATAAACCCATATGTGACCTGTTCTGTCAAAAGCAGACGCTTCTGGGCAGAGGTTGAAATTGAGATAGGGCCAAGAAACGCTGTGGGGGTGATATTTTTCCATTTTCTAATTTTTGCATATTTGTAATCCTGAGCATGTCTAAAATATACTATAAAAGTTTGAAACCCTAATTTGATCTCTAATTATAGTATTTTTGATGATTTGTTAAGGTATATCAGTTAAAGAAATGTCTGTTTTGTGACGTTCGTGTCCATTTTCTCTGTTTTCTACTTTTCGACCCAATGAACTTCAAAATAGCATAACTTTGCGCAGGAATGACCGGTTTCAAAAATTAAACCACCTATAAAAGGAAACAGATAATATTTGAACAATATGCAAAAATCTCATTTTTGACCATATGTCCAGAAAAGTCTGATCTTGACAGAACAGGTCACATATACATGTATGCCATGTAGAAACCCCCACTCTAGATCCGCTTCTGTATGTTTATACTTTAATTTCTGAACTGTAGAGCGTGTCTGAGGTGACATCACACCAACAGCGCCCTCATAAGTCAGGAACAGCATGTTGAAAAACAGTACAATTTCAAAACCATTAAACCGAACAATGGTGTCTTATTATTTTTACATGTACACGTAATTTGCAGGAATAATTTGCACGAAATATGTTTATTGGAAAAAATATCTTTAAAGTTGTGTTTCCCACGTTCTTCAATAAATTCGAGTTTATTCTGTTAATTAGTATTCAACTTGTAGGTTTTGTTCCAACCAAAAACCTTTTTTTTCCCCTTTTAATTTTTTTAAATTTTTTTTTGAGGGGCACACAAACAAATCTGCTTTTCGAGCAGACTGGTTCCCAGTCCATACACTATGGTTCCCAGTCCATACACTATCTAATACTGATAGTGGGGCAGGAACCAACCTACCCTGCGAGAACAGAATTATTGTCTAGCAGCAAATAATTCAATCTTGTAAATTAATCATTCAATATCTAAACATGGGCCAATTTTTGGATCGATGTCTCATTCAAAAGTGTATACTTTTGTATTGTTAAAAAAAAAACAATTTAGAATAGATTTTTATTTCCCAGGATTAAATGCAAAAATGGCACGGGGACTGCACCTTTAATTGCCCCTTTAAAGCTGATGTAATAAGATCATGCTGGTTTAAGAAACATAGACATGTGCCAGTCATCATTAGGCCCTGTCTGTTTGTGTACAAGTCCGCCAGAGACTTGCATTGTTGGCATATTTCTAGAATGATCCGTCGGCTGGCCGCGCGGCATAAGTCCCCAAAATAGACTCAACTTTGATTGACGGCATGCTGGGAAAGTTCAAAGGTCAAAAGGTCATGAGGGGCAATGTCTCATTGAATATGCGTTCTGTTGCGGTATTTGTCAATGCTGGCTTACCACATCAAAATTCAATTAAAGGTGAAATGGGCACCGTTTGCAAACATTCAAAAACAAAACTGCCAAAATGTTATTGGAATCCTACTTGACTGTATTAGTAAATAAAAGGATTACAAGCATCCTGTGAAATCATTGCTCCTCGTATGCTTTCATATTTCCAGAAAGGAGGACTTTTGTATTGGTACCAACAATGGTTGAGACCAAAGCATCACTGTGAAAAATATTTTTTTTCAAATACTACATCCATTAACAGGGCATGAGCCAGCTACTGACTTCGTGTGCACGCTCGGTACACTTAGAACATGCACATGTACATGTATGTATGTACATTTTTCCCACGACACAGCCGGAATTCAGGCATGCCCTGGGACTGCTGCGTTCTATACACAACAGATTCAGCGTGCTGCACTTTGATGGTTGAAAACAAACATCGTTTTTTCCCCGTGATTTTCCAATGCCAATGGACGCAAAACACGGAACAGCTCAGTGGAACGTTGTCTGTTATACCGGTACCTATATAAAGTACATGAACTAGCCCTTCAATCGGTCAATTTTATAAGCAAAACAAAATTCAAATTACAATGCGGCAGCAACAAACTAAGTAAAATGTGCCGCAAGCCAATGTGGCCCATCAGGCCAGCGTTTCTCTCCAGTTTCAGTAGCATGAAACAAATGAGGATATTTCTACTCCCCCTGGATGGGATGCCAGTCCATCACAGCTTACTTCCAAGCTAATACTCCTGGGTGGAGAGAGGCAAGTGGGGATGAAGTGGCTTGCCCAAGGACACAATATATGGCCAGCAGCTGGATTTGAACCCCTGACCCTCTGGTCATGAGTCACAACCCTTACCACTAGGTCACACCCCCCCCCCCCTCCCCAGTGAAGGCTGTGCTAAATATTTGAGTTTTCGATCAATAATGAAATATTCAAACTATATTTCACTTTATCAGAAACAAATGAATTGAACAAACGGTATGCAATGAGGATGTCTCAAAATTAGACGGATAATTGAATATAATATTTTTTATTCAAACTCTTGGAAATGAGACACTTTTTGAAGAAAAAAAAGAGTTCAAGTCTTAAGAAAAAATTCTTGAAAAAAAAAGAGTTCAATTCTTAAGAAACAAATTCTTGAAAAAAAAAATTCAATTCTTAAGAAAAAAAATCTTGAAAAAAAAGAGTTCAATTCTTAAAGGGAAGATACAATATTTGCAAACATCACAAAACGAAATGATCAAATTATCACAAAATACCTTACTGGATTGTTAGGGAATGACAGTCTAAAACATTCTGTAAAATCGTGGCTCCTGGTGTGCTGTCATTTTCAAGAAAAATGGGATTTTTCCAACGCTGGTCGGCCGACCAGCGTTGGAGAAAACTGGCTTTTTCAAAAAGTGCTCCTAAATTTTCATAATTAGTTATTCTGCGTTTTCTTTGCAATTGATCACACACCTGTGAAGGGGTACAAGCCTGCTAGACTGATTCTCTGACTTTACAATTCCGCAAAGTTTATAAATTGCTCTGTTTCATCTTAAGTGGGGTCAGGGAACCAGACTACAAGAACATGATTGGTTTTCTTGGTTTTTCCAGCATCTACAAGCCCAAATCGTGAAACAAGTCATTTTAACTACATTTGCTATAACATACTAATCCTCCAAATCCATTTATTTCTGAAAATTGCAGAAAAAGCAAATGTTGTACATTCCCTTTAAGAAAAATATGCTTGAAAAAAAAAGGTGAAATTCTTAAGAATCTATGGTGGTCTTTGGTATAACTCAAGTGTAATATTGAACAAACCGTTCTGCATTACATCGCTTTTTGATTTGTGGTACAGGCAGTAACATTTGCGATGGAACTTTGAAAAAAAAACAATCCGCTATAAAGCTGAAGAAATTTGTGCCGCTCCGTACAAAGCTTTGGTGTTGTTATCGAAAATCCAAGAGAAGAAAAAGCTGTAGAATCTCTACTGACAAAAAAGAATTCGCTAAAAATTTAAAGACATACAGAACATTAAGAAAGTACTTGTACAGTGTGTAGTGCTCAACCATGCAAACAGTAGAAACACAGACAAAGTTGGCGTCTTTTGTGAATTTAAGAAACACGCACTAGGAAGCAGGAATGTTTGAAACGCTTTTGTTCCGCACAAAATGTCTGAAACTGAACGATGATCGCCACTGTTCACATTTCAGACGTTTTTGTCCGGAACAAAAGCGTTTCAGACATTTCTGGTCCATAGTGATGTACGGTATCTTGACCATGTAATTGTCATTGGAATGTAGGGTTGGGATGAGGTTTTTTTTTTAAATTTTTTTATATCCATTCATCATTTACATGCATAATAATGGTAAAGAGTATTCTTTGGGTTTTTAATAATCTTTTTAAAACAGACATCTCTGTATCTGACTCTAGAGAGAGTCAGGTTGGCGCAGCGGTTCTTTCCTCGCCTTCTATCTCTATGGTCGTGGTTCGATTCCTGCCCTGGTCCACATGTGGATCAGGTTTTCAGTCCCTACCTGCATGATTCTGTGGTTTTTCCCAGAATATTCTTCCGGGTTTTCCTCCCATCTCTGAAACTGTAACTTCTTCTTATTGTCTTTTCTCAACAGGTTTCTTCAGGCTTGCAAGCTGCAGTGCCTAGGGTGCTGTTTCAGGAATCTTTGGTTTCGTTGCCAGATATAATGCATATCCTCAGACCCCCTAAAACGACGTGGTCCTATTTCGACGCACTCACATTCCATTTGCGTTGGACAACGCGCGCGTTGCAAGCGTTTCCTGCGCCGATTATGGTGACTCGAGGATATAAACTGGAAACACAAACTTTTGCATTTATCTTTCATTTGCTACTTTTTTTTTTAAAACATACTTTGGTTCGGGAAAAGTGCTTGAGCTACTGGCCCTGTCGTCCAGGAGATTTTTAACTGAGACATGTCTCAGAGGTGGTTTTCAGGAAAAACTATTACGCAATTTTGTTACGATAATGACGCATTCCATTTTGTAAACAAAATCACACGAAGGGTTCACAGTGAAAATATCTGTCACTACGTAGTTTCGTCTGGGTTTACACTGTTCAAAATCAACAAAAAAAGGGAACATCACATTTTCACAGCTTAAATTGCTTTTGCGTCTTTCTAACATCTACCGGTACAAAATATATACAACAGTGGAAAAAGTGGAAAAAATGAAAAAGAAAGTAAAATTTCTCTGAAGAGTGTACTCACTGCGATTGACAAACTGAATGCCTTTTGTAGGATGAGATTAACAGAAAGTTTGAATGAGTCAACTACATGTATTACTAAACTGACTTCAAAACAAAATTAAGAATGACAAATTTTGATGAGGACGCAAAGAAAATTCTGCATTCTAAAAGAAAAGCACCGCTGTTCTGCACTTCCCAGTCCCGATGTGGTTAAGCTCTAACAGGGTTCCCACATATATCTTTTAAAGAAATTCCATGACTTTTCCTGGGCACGATTTAGAGGCCTTTCCATGAACAATTCCGATGCTGTTTTGGCATCTCAGGAGCCTGCAATGAACGTCACACTGAGGCAAGTCTTCCAGTTTGACACAAGACCACTGAGCACCACATAAGCATCACAATGGTGGATTGAATAAGCAACAAGAATACAGCATACATTTTGTACACTGTACATGTAAAAAAAAAAAAGGAAGTACATTGTATATAAAGCACGAATGCAAACTGGAAGACTGCCGCAGCCACGGATCATCACGTATAAGTTTTGCAGGATTCCATGACTTTTCCATGACTTTCCATGACAGCTTTAACTTCCGGGCTTTTCCAGATTTTCCGGGCTTTTCCGGGATTTTTAAGGATTTTTCCGGGATTTTTCCAGGATTTGTCCTGGATATGCTCGGGATTTTCCAGGCTTTTCGTGGATTTTTCCAGAATTTTTCCGGGATTTTTCCAGGATTTTTCCAGGATTTTTCCATGACTGTCTGTGGGGAACCCTGTCTTAGTATGTACACTGCTATGCAAAATGAGCAGATGAGAATGAGCAGATGTGGCAGCACAGCACATACATGTAGGTTGGCTGAAAACAAAAACCTTTTTGCTTCTTCACTTCTTAGCTAGTTGGGCTGTGCCGAATAAACCGAATATTAGAATATTCGTTCATCCACCGAATATCGAAATACCAATTTTAACATCAAATATTCAAAAAAAGTGAGTGGTCGCGAGGTGATGACGAAAAATTTACTCGATCGCATAGGTTTAGATTGGTTCATATTTGTCAAAGGCCACTTTGTTTCGTTGAAAGCCACTTTGTATGCATGGTTTGAGAGCTTGCATGAAGACTATTAGCTCAAATTTCTTCGTTAAATTTGGTCAAATATCATACCTTGAAAAAAAAAGCGTATCGACAGAAACATGATGTTCTCCATATTATTATAAGTTCTCTGTCAATTTATGACAAGCGCCGGTGTACGTGAACCCAAACGGTGACCAGTTTCGGCAGGAGCACGTAAAACTTGATCAGCGCATTTCAAATATTCGAATATTCGATCCAGTCCAAGACAGAGTAATCGAATACTAAATTGTTCAGAAATGCACAGCCCTACTAGCTAGAGAAAATGTATGCTTAGCACTTTTCCTGCCTAAAAGCTCATCTGTTTGTTTGTTTCTTTGTTTGTTTATATTGTTACCTCTCAGCATCCGGTCTCTGTCGTAAACTTCAAACCTCAGCTCGCTGGAGTAATTATTCAGCTCACTGCAAACAACCAAACAAAATAAGTCGGGCACTTTCATTGTTTTTCTCACGATATCCCTTTAGACCATTTTATGCATACCGCCATCTTTGGGATCACGTGATAATATTTTGGCGCTGACAAATTTTGGCAAAATTTGGTATGGATGTAAAGACATCCACACTGATTGTATCGGTAATGTTTCGACTCATTCAAACAAAACACATTGAAATTAGTGCCATGAATAATGCACACTTAGCTTCGTGAACGAGCACTTTATATAGATAAAGGTCTAAGCTACTCTGGTGAAAAATGTGGGACTGAATTTTATAAAACAGGTGCCAAACCTGTGTAAAAACATCAGTCTAAAATCCGGGAAATGCATGGTTGTCATGAAAACAAAACAAAAAATCTTGTTATGATATCAGACAAATGTACATTTTAATTTCTTTCATTTCTACTCGAAACTTCCAAAATTGAAGAGTTTACCTCGCTTTCACTTTAAGCTCTCAAAACTGTTCAAAGAGTGCCATCCATTGTTCATGGATCACTACTCACAATAAGAAATGCTCGTCCCAGAACGGGTTGACGGTATTGCGGATGATGTTGGTCTTGTGTTTCTGACTGGGCTGATCAATGGTCACCACGCAGTAGGGGTCACTGGCGCTGGTGCCATCTCTCTCACGCAAACCGTTGGCCTTGATAACTGGAAGGGAAACAAACAGCGGGAAAATAAAAACTTGCTTGGACAACATGGTGGAAGTGCCATGGCCTCGTGGTCTGGAGCACTGAATTCGTGGTCTGCGGGTAATTCTGCAGGTTGTGGGTTCGAGCCCAGTCTAGGCCATGACACTTCTAGGCCTAACATGGGTAGAGGCATTATTAATGCCTTGCAGAGGACTAGTTTAGCCATCCCAACCCTATTCATACTGTGAAGAGATTAGATTATCTTGTCTTGTTTCAGTGTGAGGGGCTGGTTCCTCCACACTTTCCTCTGTTGCCCACAGCTCGAGTGGCCTTTGGCCTTGTGATGGGCGATTTGCATAAAAAACACCAACAACAAACGGTGAAGTTTAGGGCTAAATATCACGGCTCTGCTAACCACAGAATTCCGTGCTTACGATCACCATTCTGTGCTAGCAAAGAAATTCTGAACCAGCCACATCTACAATGTATAGGCACATTAATTTCACCCTCCCTCTCTGACTGGCAAATTCAGCTACACCACCACAGGCGTCAAGATTAATCAAGTGACTGTTTTTAACAGGTAAGTATTCCCTTATTAAAGCTATAGTCCATCATTTGCAGCCATCCGAAAAGTAACTGGCATAATTATTGTTGAAAAACATACTTGGTTGAAAGATAGTAAGGGGACTAAACTCCCTATGAAATTATTCTTTCTGGCAAGCTGTCATTTTGAAGTAATCAACGAAAGAAGGCCTTTCCAACCGTGCGTTATTCGGCGAAGCGCGCGCAAGCATTGGCACAACGCACGGTTGCTATAATTCGTCGGATCAGTGCGCGACATCGCGTATGGCTGCAATCGGCTCAGTGAGAACGTGTCTCGGACGCTGAATTCAAAACATGATTCAGCAACTTTTGATTTGAAATTGAGATCCTAGAATGCTGTTTTTCTCGGAATATACAGCTGAAGCTGAGCTGAAACTTCATCAGGTTAGTTGTTCAGTATCCTTCTTTAGATTTTGAACACTACTGTTGCTTCAAACGAACAAAATGCACAAATTACAAATGATGGACTATATCTTTAGTTTGGTATAGCCATGCTTTGAATGAAGGTGACTGATGCCAGCTCTCCCAGTTACCTCTTTTGACTGTTAATGGAATTAGACTAGTCACAGTGTTTACATGAATTCTGACTGTTTTTTTTTTCTGTGCACAAATGCATGGCTAGGGAAGTAGAGAATATTTTGACCGTCTGTGGCTGATCAAACAGTAGGAGAGTTTTAATCCATATCCGGTGGTTGTGGGATATATGCATGCGCACAAGCCATAAAAATAACAGTCAAGTTTTCCAATTTCGTGGAACACAACTTTTCAGGAAATGCTGTGTTGCTAACAGTATCGAGGAAGTACGCTGAGATAATGTGACAATCACCTCCACCCAGGTCAGGCTGACTTCCTTGACAATGGTCCATGTGCATTCCATAACAACAACATGTACTTTTATAACACACATACATGTAATCACAGATAATTTGGCCTATGTCTGCATAAATTGTTAAGGTGCCGGGGTATGAACCTGTCATGAGCTACGGCCGACTGAACATAAACGGTGAGTACGCCAGCGAATTTGAGACACGTTTTTTTAGGGCTAGCCTGGTGAGGGCCCTGTGAGACAGAAACATTTACCTTTGACCAACAGTCTTCTGTCTGCTGCGGTCAGGGTGCGACCCATCGGCGTACCAGTCATTGGCTTGTTCCGCACGTTGGCGTTCGTCTGTACACAAAACAAAAACAAATAAAAACCATCCTTCAATAACCTCAATCTATCGAACTTCTTAGATGCAAAGGCATACAGGATCATTTGCTTGTCATGCATTTTGCAGTGTTCAAAACCTTTAAAGGGAATATACATCATTTGCTTTTGCTGTAATTTTCAGAAATGGATGGAATTGGGGGGTTGGAAATATATAGCAAATATAGTTACACTGACTTTTTTGAGGTTTTGGGTTCGAAAATGCTATAAAAACCAAGAAAAACAATCATTTTCCTGTAGTCTGGTTCCCTGACTCCATATAAGAAGAAACAGAGCATTTTACATACATTGGGGAATTGTAAGGTCAGGGAACCAGTCTAGCTGGCTTGTACCCGTTCATAGGTGTGTAATCGATTGCAAACAAGTGGGATGGTCAGTTGGGACTAGTATTTGAAAAAAAGCCAGTGTTTTCCAACGCTGGTCGGCCGACCAGCGTTGGAAATGATACAAAAATATCACTTTTCTTGAAAATGACAGTATACCAGGTGCAATGATTTTACAGGATGCTTTACACTGTCATTCACTAACAGTCCAGCAAGGTATTTCAAAATGATTTGGTAGTTTTATTTTTTGATGTTTGCAAATGTTGTATTTTCCTTTTAAACCTGTTGTAGTTTCAGCTCAGTGGATATTACACTCGTTGAGAAAACGGTGAAAGACCATGCACAGTCTTTTGATCACAAAACACAATTTCGTCAAAATAGAGCACCGAAGTGAATACATCACGCGCACAAAATGTGTGTAAAAGACATTGCCCGTGAATCAACACGCGCGCGTACTCCATTCGTTTGCGCTACACTTCCCGGTTCTAAATGACATCACACTTCGGTACTCTATACCACTCTTTATTCTAAAAATCAGTCAACTGACTGATCGTTGGACATTACCCACATTTCATGATACACAAATAATGAATGTTTGTGAGTGCAATGGTAAGAATAATTTCATGAGGTGACAGATGAAATGTTCCATTCCACGAGGCGAAGCCGAGTGGAATGAAACATTCCATCTGTCACCGAATGAAATTATTCTTTCTATTGCACGAACGTGACACATTCATTATTTGTTTTATATAACACCTGAATAAATCCTCGTCATCTGATTGGTTGACTTTTAATAGCCAATTTATTCAAGTTAAAAATTGTTTACAAGTTTGACGAGTTCAGAGTTATCATATTCAATTTTTCTCAATTTAAAACTTTTCCATAAGGTTAGAACTCAAACAGTTCAATACCGGTAAGTCCAGAACTTTTATTGCCAATTTAAACACCACAGCGCCACTATCGGCAACATGTGCAGTGACAGTGCAATGGTACAATATACTTCTAATCACAGTGCAATAGTACGGTACTTCCATTGCACTGTGCGCTGCGCGCCAGGCGCATGCCATGCATTGGTACGAATAATTCAATGACATGTAATCAACGATCCACCAATCAGATGACGATGATTTACTCAGGTGTTGTATAATTTCTTCTAACTGCAAGCCAGGTAGAATAATTTCAGGGGGTATTTAGTACCAGTGCGATCTTTAATCCACATCTTTTTGATAATAATTCGGTAAGATACATAGAAATGATCCCATATGCCTTTACAAAACATGTAAAATCAAAAAGTTTTTTTCAAGAACTACGCTATCGGTATATGTCAAAACACAACAGAAAAAAGAAAACATACACTAATGAGTGCTAATTATTCATTAGTGACAAATGAATCTCAGAAATCAATAAAAAAAAAATCAATATAAACAAGGTGGATGGACTGCAAACAAAAAGGACTGGCGACAAGAATTGTGGTACTCTAATGTGAGATTTATATAGACAAAATCAAATTGTGAATTGTAGTGTAATTTTTTAATGTATACAGGTGACCAGGGTAACGTACAGTACATAAGAAAATTCCAGGACGTTTGTGAAAAAGCAAATTCTGTAAATGCAAAGTTCTCTCTCGGCTCTACTTACACTAAATTCAGAAGCTAAAACCGACATGCGAATTACAGGTCTAAACTTAAGAATTGTGTACATGTAGATATGTGCTTTTGCTTTGACTGGACAGAAGAGGAAAACATTGTACTGGTATATTTTCTTTTTGAGTAAAAACAATGACAATGCAAATCATTTTTTTAATTTTTCAATATCAAAACTAAAAAGTTTAGCAAATAATGATGGTAAATTTGTACAGAGCATTTGCCATTAGCAATAATGTACATGATTTGACAGGAAAGCAACCAAAAAACAAAAAAACAGAAAAAAAACAGTGGTGTATTTGCCAACACACCAGTTCGCGCACTTTTGATCAAATACGCGTACACCGTGCACAAACCTGCACAAGGTGTACAGTGGAAATGCATCAATGAGTCCTGCCTAAAAAGCAGGTTCATACGAATGTGAATGCAAAGCAAACTTGATGTTGCAAAACATTCGCCGCAAAATTCGCCGGAGTTGAGGTATGTGCAACTTTTGCGATTCATTTGCGGCATGGAAACTTAACGCGATGTCACAAATTTGCGTGAATTCGCGTTCGGTTTCGCGCTAAGTATGAACCGGCCTTTAACGGGGTACTTGTGCAAACGGTGCCGTTTACACTCGCCCAATATGCGTGGCCTCTATTTCGTACAGCGTATTGGGTTCTCCATTGAACACAAATTTGGCAGGATGGCACAGCAGGTTTTGAGTTGTGATCTGGAGTTCCAAAGCCACGACCGCACAGGGGGTGATCAAAACACAGGACATCACCAATTGAAATTTTGTGCATCAATTTCACATTTGTATCAGGACTTGTACGTGTACAAGTGGAAGGTTTGACACAAGTTTCCCTCAAAACATTTTGGCGATAAGACACAGCCCTTGCATAATGTACATGTATAAATCCTCTACAGTGGTACATGTAAAGTCAGGATGGATAGTATCTGCATGTGGTAGGATATATTTTGGGGGGGGGGGGGAGGAGAGAGGGAGAGGAGAGGGGGAGAGGAATTGGGGGGGGGGGAACCACGTTTAACAGACATTCCATACAATTTTGACTTTCACCAAACTCCTATGTACACCTTACTGTCACATGCCAACACAATGATCAAGGCATTCAAGGGATTTAGATTTCAGGATTAATTATTCGGGAATCTTGATTAGCAATTAGAAGTAATTAAATGGTAATTAGTAAAACGAAGCTGGCCTAGAACCAAACTCAAATTTACCAGTAAATTAGCTATTAATTGGTGCAAGGCAATTAACTGTTATTAATACATGTACACTACCGGTATGTAAATTTATACCGGTACTTCATGCCGTGGTCCTACATGTGTACATGTACATCAAAGGTGATCATTTTCAACCTCGCTTGCACAGTATATTACTTGAGATATCATTTTGTACCATTTGGCACTCCATACTTGCCGAGCAACCTTTGACTTCTTGTATTTTTGGCAATATTTTAAAAAATACTCAACCTTAATGCCAAGAAAATCACTATTTTTACTATTTGGCACTCCACACTTACCTCAAGTCACCTTTGACCTCTTTGTTTTATATAAAAAAAACTCAACCTCAAATGTACAGCAAATTACCCAGACAGCATTTTGTACCATTTAAGTCCCCTTTGACCTCTTATTTTTTTGGTCGATATTCAGAAAAACAGAGCACGTGACACAGCAGCATTTCTAAATTATACTCACTTTAATACCATGCATGGTTTGTGTGCAGAACCTCAAAGTGCTGCAAGATACTCACATTACTCTTGTGAGGTTAAAACAGCCTTGGCTACAATATACATGTACAGTACATACATATGTCTCAGTATTACAAGCAACACGTGCAAAGCTGTTGAGTGCAAATGGACAACCAAGGTCCCTGTTCAATAGCTCCTGAGGTTCATGCATAACAGCCTGAGGTTCATAGATACATGTACACTGTAAATAAATAGGTGGAAATATTTTGCAATGAGGTTTGAAAGGAATGCACAAGGTTCACACTTACTTTGGACATGAGCATGCACGAACCTGTGAACCTCTGTGGCTCACAGAGATAACATCTGAGAATCTTTTAGACTTATATAATCCTTTGAGGTTTGCATTAATGAAGCTGCACTAAAAAGCACTGTTCTCAAGAGGCCCAACATCTACATGTATGTATGTATTAGTGCTTTGCAGCTCATGCATCACTTATATGTCACTGAGGTTCACTGGGACTCGAATTGGCCCACAATATCTGAAACTCACAGGGTTATACATGTACAAGTATAATTCCTCTGAGGTTCACACAGAATCTTCATGTATAGCTCAAGCGCCTCACTGTCACTGTTGCATGAACCTCATCACAGGAAATGTCTGTGGCATTTACAGGCTCATAATCTCTGCAACGAGGCACCATTCTGTACCTGGTGGATTGCCAACAGGTCTGAGGTTCATAAACCTCATTCACAAACCTCATCAGAGTACAAAACTTCTTCACTTTGCATTAGCTCAATGAAAAAAAAAAGCCTTTGATGAGGTGAGGTTGAAGCAGTGCGCCACACTGAACCTCGTAACACAAAGCACATGAACCTCATGCAAGCACAGTGTGAGACAGCCCTCACAGAGCGCAGCCGCTCTCTGAGGTTTGAGGCTGTCCGGCAGCATTATCCAGCATACATACCCTGATGGAACAACGGCCAGTATAAGAGCTACATGTAGACTGTAGACATTTTTAGTACGTACGGTAGCAGAAAAAGTAAAAGCGAGAAACACCAACAGCACACCGTTAGAACACATGTTAAAAGCACAGACACAATGTACAAGTACGAATACACAATGCAATGGAACAAAACACACACACTGACACAATCAATACAAGTATGGAAAACAGAGATGATACACATCACCAAGAATGTCTTGTCTATTAAATGTGGGAAAAATTCCACTTTATTTTACTTGTGTATATGCTGCCTGAAAGGGTACCGAAACTATTAGCATGAGGTTCCTTTGTGGACAAAAAACCTCCTTTAAGTAAGAAAGGCATTAAGTATTAAAGAAAGGCATACAGTTTGCATAAGCACCATTTGGTAAAAGTTGTGTACCTCGATTTGAGAAGTTCCACTTCCGGGGGTTGACGAACCTAAAATCTCCTGTCAGGGAACATGGCTAGTCTTTGTCCAAGGGTTTGAATTTTGTTAAGCTAATTCAGTCGGACCTAATCCCTTGCAAGCGCGATCAAGCCACGGTACAGGCTGCTATCAACAAGCTAAATCACATTCAGCCTCGGGAACATTGGCAACCAGACCTGAGAGATTCCACGAACACCTCATTCACAGTTTTGCGCACCGTATTCAAACTACTGCGGGTATGTGTGGTACCTAGGCTCTGAATTTCCTGGATCCGGGCGCCTACGTTCCCAAGACTAGATTTGTTTATCTCCAGCTTTGGATTCCTCTTGTCAACAGCGCCCTCTACCGCCCCAGCACCTTGACCGTGCTTCTCAGGGAACCGCTGCATTAGTCTCGGACCAAAACTAGTCAAGGAACAGACCCGTGTTCCTACTTTAACATACACAAGCATCTACTCATACGTACTGGGGGCTGGTGGAACGCCGTACGCTGCGACATGTTGATGGGCGCGGCCGTGGGCGTCAACAGCTCTCTGGGCACCGTCTTGGTGGAAAGGTCAACGCAGGTCATTGCCCCCATGACAGCCCCGCGCACTATCTCCTCCACCAGCATCAAATCCACCGGATCATTCTGTAAAGCGAGGTTTGAAGGGAATTTTTTTTAAGAAAAACAAAATAAAGATCTGAACTTCACACAAGATCAGGGTCAAGATCACTTCACAAACTGGAAAATTGTCAACTAGAAAAGATATCGGTTCTTGGAGATTTGTTTTTATCTGGGATGTTCATTAGTACATCAATTTGGAGCTATTTTGGCTGTTTATAGGACTACTTTGCATGCAATTCCCGCCAGGTCCAACCCACCAGCCTTACATGTACATTGTACATACCTACTGTGGACATTCCTTTGTATTCGTGTAGTTAAGAAAAACAGGAGAAAAAACTTGCACTGAGCACACTCTTTCAACCAAATTTTTTTTATCATGATTTCCTTGAGTGTTGTTCTTCATTTTGCGACAGATAAACCTAACCCAAAAATGCCTGTTTTCCAGAGAGCGGGAACCTAGTGTGGACGTGGGCAAGTCCACAAAGCATTCACGCTTTCTGCATCCTGTGGACCTCTTTTGTTCACAGGTCCACAAAGAGTATGTACATGTAAGGTTTGAGCACACATTTTGGACAGTGTGACTTGTGAGTCGGGCAGTGCTGTCATGTAGGATTCCCCATAATGCCAATGAATGTGCTACATCAGGCCCATTGTGTAGACCACATGCATGAAAAGATTTCCAGCTACAGCCACTCGGAATCACTTCACTAGAATGTTGCGCACTCTGGGACCAGATTTACTCGTCTTGCCTTGTCTCGTTTTTCAACATTAAAGGGGTACTAGGTCCTGAAATCCCCGAAAATTTCATGTTTTGGATTATTTAATTAGCCTACATGTATTTCAAAAATCTGGTTGAAAGGAAACCAACCTAATGTCTTACCGTATAGACTTTGTGTGGATGTTAATATCCTACTTTTAAATGTTATTTCCGATTATCATCATCTCGTTCAAAGCGCGTTTTGTAGCCCAATTGGGCTGTTCCGGGACCCAGTGTCCCTTTAAAACCCATTGAGTGCACACCTCCAGAAAACGAGTCCCTCCCAAAATGCCCCTTTAAAATTGAACCCTCGTCGCCATGCTTACTCCACTGTTTACCTTGCTGGACGTCTGTGGTCGGACCGTCAACGACAAGTCCGGCTTGCTCTCAAACACAGCGTTGACCTGCAGCAGCTCATCAGACACACACTGCACTTTGCATTGCACCTGGCCAGGATGGGGAAAAAATGCAAATAAACAATGAGCGAGGTTAAATTTATATATATGCTGTTTTGTATTCGGGATTTTGCCTGGAGTGCAGCGACTAGGTGAACGGGATGGCAGAGTCATGAAATCAATACAGTTATATATGGATTAGACTGGTCTCCAGTCCCTCCACAGATTATGACTTCGAATGTGAGGACAGTGTAGAGACAGCTGCCCGGTGGAATAAACATACGGTACACTATGGAATTAGCATACACAGGAAGGAACATACATGTACATGAGCCACATCATTGTGCGCATGTGCAGCTAAAATACCAAACTGGTTTATAGTCAAACTGGAAGAAAATTGGAGAACGCAGACCCACTCTCCCCCCAATAAAAACCAAACCAACTAAACAAATGAAAAACAAACAATTCATTAACAAACAATGAACGGGAAAAAACCCAAAATACCCCTTTGCATGACAATGTACCGGTACCGTATCTACCCATCTACATTTGTGCTGAAACTTCCGGCAAACATTTATAAAATAAAAGTGGCTGAAAATTGGCTTTCTTCCAAAAAAGTTGAGACCTCCAGGTGTTTTCTGTCTCTAGAGATATACCAAATCTACAGAATGCATGAAATTGGACCACTAGATATGGCACTAGACATATATGGACATGTACAAATGTAATTATTCAGTATTTTTCAACCTGTTTTGTTTTTCCATAAAAGCAAACATGCATGTTTAAATATAAAACAGCTGAATAAATAAAAATTGCATTCATATTGTCGCAACTCTGTCTCATCACATATGAAATGCAACACACATTGTACACTGCATTAAAACCCAAATAATCGCAGTACTACTAGTGCCTGAAACCACCCTGCCTATTACTCACTGTAGCACCTGAAACCATTTGAGCACTCTATGGTTTTATTGATTCTTCAGTGAATAAACACAATGTAATACAATGTAGTACAAGTGCTAATGGGTTTAATGGAAGCTACCGTCACTGTAACGGTACCAGCACGTTCAGATTTGGGAGAACGCACACCCTAAAGAAATGCTACCAAGCAATTATACGCACGAAGCAAACAGAAAAACACTTGAAATTATCACTTTTTATACATTATAAATTTTGGTATTGCTGCAAAAATAGCAATTTAAAAACATTTTTTTTACGAGTTGAAACTCAAAAATAGCATGGGGAGAGCACCTTTACGAAAAAAGCACAAGTACATATTTATACATACTGTACATGTACTGGTGAATTTGATACATTGAATACATGCACCGGTGCATACTGCATATGAACATGTGTATTGATTCAGCAAGTTGTACGTGTGCAAACTGTAAATGACATCGTTATTACAGTACAAAACCCATTAGCATGTGAGAATCTGCATCCAGTGCAGCCATCAAAAATGGTTTCCTTCAGCGTCAGTGAGGAGCGTTGCCACGGCAACTAGACACTGCAGATGAGTTGAATGATATGGAGGGATGTACGGTATCCGCTTGCATCTGTGAGCTACAATTTGTTTGTTTGTTTGTTTGGTTTTAATTTTGTTTGTTTGCAAATTGCAGTTACTTTTGGTGAGTTTAAAGTAGTAAAAGGCAAAGTTCTCTGTAACATAATTCAACAGCTTCCACGCCAAATTCGGAATCAATTCGGGCAATTTACAATTCAGTGCGCCATCAAGAGTTTGCCACGGACAGTTCATTTTTCCCAGTGCATTCTGGGAGATAATCGACAAATTCGCAGTGTGGGACATTTGAAATTGTTTGTTTTCTCCGGTCAGTATTTTCGTAAGCGTATGATTCGAATACATGTTCGCCCTTTTTTTTTTTTTTTAATCAACATGGTGTTTTTTTATGAGCTAGCAGAACGCTATGCCTCAATCTATATTAACAAAATTAGCTCAAGTTGTCTACTGACACTCATTCAAATGGACCTCGTTTTGTCGACCGTAAGTTTGAAAAATGGACACTCAATGGCAAACTCTTGGTGGCACACTGCATTGTGAATCAACCGAATTGTGGATGAAAAAAACCCCGTAAATTTAACTTATCTTTCAACAGAAAGTGTTACAAATTTATGCAAATGTATGCTAACCATAGCTCTACATACTGACATGTGAACAAGCAAAACAAAAAGAAAGAAGGGTGTAATTTACCTGGGAATGCCAAAAAAGAAAAAAGACGAAAACCAGAAAATGTGTCGTTAAATTATTTGTACATTGTCAACCAGAAATGAAGAGTTTGTTCCAACTTGCTATAGGATACAAGTTTTCCAAGAAACTGTGTGTAGCCCTAAAAACTGATGTTTTATGAAGCAAAATGTGTTCAAATTTTATTCAAACTTGCCCATATAAATTGTACACTGTAAAGCTGCACAAGTTCGAGGTACAAGACAAAGACAGGGACTGCACACTGACATCATAAAGCCCGGTTCATAATCTCATGAAATTGCAAAACGAATATGGCGTCACAAAACATTCGCTGCAGAATTTGCCGGAGCTGAAATGTGTTCAACTTTTGCGAATTCGCAGAGCGAAGACTGGCTGGGAAAAATGAACTCTCCATGGCAAACTCTTGGTGGCGCACTGCATTGTGAATCGCCCGAATTCAGACGACGCAACGTACATGTACATACTTTCTGGCACAGAGCTCATACACCGTACATCTACTACATGTAGCACATTAAACAAATATGATGCTTGTTACACAACAATAACCACATTGATGACAAACGATAAAAAGAGAGAAAAAAACGTAGCGACTGTAGACAAAACATACCTGTACTCTGAGCTACCGGGGTAGCATGCAAACAGACAATAGAAGAATGTGGAAAAAGTGTTAATCATTTCAAAACAGTGCAAATACTGTTCAAAAAAGTAATACGACAAACAGGAACATGTTATTCATTTCTGTAAGTTGATCACTCATATTGTTTGATCACAGACACAGACAGTCAGATGAAATTTAATCCACTTCCCCTCCCATAACTAATACCTGTCCCTCGCTAGTCATCAACAGTCAGATTATATTTCTTGTACATGTACAAGAAATATAATCTGAAACAAAATCTGCAGCAAAATCAGGTAACTGGTAGGTACAGCTGGCTTATCAATCTCTTACAATCAAACTTCAAAGCATACATGTAGCTGTATCAAGTTCACAGCTCGTCAATCCAGCTTTATGTTGGCAGGGAGCACTGCTGGTACGGTATATTAAAAACATCACGCACACAAATATTGATAAAGGTGCCCATCATGCTTTGAAAATTGCACAAAACAACTGCTCTACAGGCATCTAATGATTCTTTTTGAACATATTTGTGTTTATTATATATGTATATATATATGTATATATATTTTTTAAAAATAATTTTATAATATTTTTAAACCAGTCCTGTAATTGGCGGTTTTTTCTGCTGTTGGATGTGGATAATAAATAAATAAATAAATAAATAAATAAATAAATCTTTGAATTTTTGTACAGCAAAGCTGGAAGGCCGACAGCGGATATCGCAGGTCCCATTTTCAAAATTGGAATTCCATTCAAACGTAAGGGAAAATTTGTGAACGATTTTTGAGGTTTTGTATTTAAACATTTAAATGTACACTCGTTAAATTAGTCTAGCTAGATTCTAGTCTTGGCGCAAGACTGAATTTGTTTTTTGTTTTCCTAATGCAGCCGGTCCCGAAACCGTGCAAGTGCTGTCCATTGGCCGGTTATAAATGAAATCTAGTCTAGGGAATATGCGCTCAGATCTGAGAAATTCCAAGCATGTATACGTGAGCACATTAAAGGGAAAATACAACATTTGCAAACATCAAAAAATAAAACTACCGTACCAAATCATTTTGAAATACCTTGCTGGACTGTTAGTGAATGACAGTGTAAAGCATCCTGTAAAATCATGGCACCTGGTATACTGTCATTTTCAAGAAAAGTGGTATTTTTGTATCAATTTCCAACGCTGATCGGCTGATCAGCGTTGGAAACAACTGGCTTTTTTTTCCAAATACTGGCCCCAATTGACCATCGCACTTGTTTGCAATCGAACGGGTACGAGCCAGCTAGACTGGTTCCCTGACCTTACAATTCCTTAATGTATGTAAACTGCTCTGTTTCTTCTTATATGGAGTCAGGGAACCAGACTACAGGAAAATGATCGTTTTTCTTGATCGTTTTTCTATAGCATTTTCGAACCCAAAACCTCAAAAAAGTCAGTGTAACTATATTTGCTATATATTTCCAACCCCCCAATTCCATTCATTTCTGAAAATTACAGCAAAAGCAAATGATGTATATTCCCTTTAAGTCTCCAGCTGTTTACCTACAGCCACCTCTTCCCCTGCCATGCCTTTTACACCTACTGGTAGGCTAGTCACCAACTGTCATATTTCAAGCAAGCACTGTGACTAGTCAAATTCAGTCCACAGACAAAAAGCAGGCAAGAAGTACCGGTAGGCACAGCTGGCTTATCAATCACCTACAGTCAGAGCATAGCTCTATCAGGTTACCGAAACAGTCACAGCCAGTCAATCCTGCCTTGTGTAGGCTGGGAGCTCTTTAAAACTGTTGAAAATATAGTCACTTTGACTGAGTGAACAGTCACTTTGACCGATTTTGACCGAGTTAGTGAAAGGACAACTTTGCGCAGAATGTATGTTTGCATAGGAGGGTTAACTGCACTTGTCGGGGATCAGACCAGCTGTTGCGTTTACAGAAACAACAATCCAAATCCAGTCTTGAGCCAAGCCTGTCTGTCTGCTGACTACCCACCTTCCCGATGAGTTTCTCTATGGCTACATCGCAGGTGGACAGTTTGACACTGCTGGCCGTCTGCTGGGTGGCAAAGATGACAAACGCTACCCCTGTAGCCTCTACCTGACACGTCACAGTCTGTGAATGAAAACAAAAGATAAAGAATGGATGAAGTAACAATAGTTTCAATAATGTGGTGCTTACATTATAAATACCAAAGTCTCAATAGGGCTCGCTCAATGACGACCATGTCTGTAGGAGAACTGCAACTGCGTACTTTACGCAATCAAGCACGCATTCCGCAGTGTTGAAAATGTTCCATACACGCGCGTTTGTTGCTTGAAATGTGTTCGAAATACGACGCAGCCGATGCGCGTTATGCAAGTTGACGCTCAAAATGCCGATGCACGCGGCTGGTCTGTAGGAAATGACGTCATTTGAACGAGCCCTATAATGCTGGTTCTGAGAACCAGTTTACTGGCAGGTTGGATAGATCAGTCTGTGTGCAAAAGCAATCCTACATAAAAAAGCCTTTCTTAGGCCAAAAAAAAAAAAGTCTCCGGTTTCTGGTATGCACGCGCGTCGCCGTAGCCATGCGTGTCGGCAAAATGAAAAAGTTTTTTTTTCAATGAAAGATGATGTCTCAAAACCGCCAAACTCACTGGTTTGACTGGAATCCTGCTGCTGCACAATTTTAACGTGTTTTTAGATTGGGTTATGGTCGAGAATAAGCTTTATGTGGCCTCTCTGGACTCCCATATATTTGCACTAAGCTTAGTCGGGCACCATTTGCAGTCATCAGCCGACATTTGAAGCAAAAAAGTCAGGTAAAAAAAAAAAAAAGCCGCGTCGCCGCACCACTTTTTGGGCAAGCTCCATACCAGAAACCGGAGACTTTTTTGGGGGGGCCTTAGAGGGTTGCAGAGGCTCAAAATAGAAAAATAAAACAGTTCTTCTGAAAGTAGGGGGGGGGGGGAATCCAATTTTTAAGCTCTGGCAGGAGCGTTCATCTGGATCCAAATGATTTGCATAAAATAGTGGCCGCATGAGGTCGCTGTTCGCGCTGTATTTTTAATGCACAGTATAGCGAGGACATGCCGCCGGTCGTTTACCGTGTACGGATGAATGACGAACGCCTTGACCAAGGCTAGCTCTGACAGGGATCATTTTGATTGATTTCATGCAAGACTTACACCGGTACCGTACGGTACATGCAAGACTTCTTGCAACACTAACAGACCTTATTGTGCATTCGCACTTGTTTGAAGGGTCTTGACTTTACAACTTTAATGTACAGTACCATTACATGTATTGATAATATCATGGTGAATAAAGAAAAATTAATTTGAATATTTATATAGGTGGAGAGGTGAATGGTTCATGTATAATTTCCGAAAAGGGAAATTTCTGAAAAGAAAATTACATTTTGTAAACACACATGTTGAAAATTATCCCTTTACATTTGTGGCTATTTGGAACTTTTCACTATGTGCAATTGTGCATGGTAAAAAATGTAAAAGGTAAAGAAAAAATAATGTTAATTTTTTTGGGGGGGAGGACCCATATTGTCCTAAATATTTAATGTGCAACATGTGAATGCACAGAATATTTCAGTAAACATGCACATGTACATGAATGCAATTACCTGTGTGTATGGAAAATAATGTCAAAGTGATCTTCATGGTGACATTTGTTTTAATTAAGGTTTAACATTTCCATCATGTGTATTAAGAATACATACAAAATGTACTTGTGCAAAATTTGCCACAATACCAAATATTTGCTACATGTACCCACATGTAAATTTATATTGAATTTACATGCGTGTGCACGCACGTTCGTGGCCAATGTACCGGTGGTAGCTAGGCCAGTGCGTTAGTCTTGCACCCTGTGTTTATTGCGTTATAAGCCTCCGCGATCACATTACGGGGGATGATTAGCCATTACGCACGGCCTTGCCAGCAGAGATGGGAATGTTCGGGGGGAGGGGGGGTACACAAAAGGTTAGGGGTCACTGTGGATATAAACATGCAGTGAACACGGCAGAGGTTTCCCCGGGGCCAGTGCAGTTTGGACGATTATTAAAGGTATACACTCCAGTTGTACGCGTAAAACCTTGATTTGGAAAAGTATGGGCAAAAAGTAAGTAACCGTGCGACGTGCGTTCAATGTAGCCTACATGTAGCTACCCATCTACTGGTATTACAGTACATACGGTACATTTATCCCTATTCAGTTTTTGGCATTTTTCTCAGCTACGGCCCGTGCCTAATTCTGTCTCATTTTGACAGAACGCATCACAAGTTTATGACCTATTGTTAGAGCCATCTCTATTTGTAGAATTATCCCCTCTCAAATATGACCTGTTGTTTAGAGCCATGCATGTTGTCATAATTACTATGCAGCATTATTTTTCGGATGTGTGACGGAAAAATTGAGTGAAAAAGCAAATCAAAAAATCAGTACCAGGTTGATATAAGGGGGGTGGGTGGGATGAGAGGGTGGAATTTTTTTGGTTTTTTTTTTTTAGTCTAGTAGGGCCCAGAGTATGCCCCCTGGAAAATTATGAAATCTACAATGCTTTCTCCAGCATTCTAAGGCATTTCAAGAAGAAATTTAGGAATGCGCTGGTTTGCGGAGATGCGTTCATGCAAAATTACATGCAAAAATAAGAAAGGGAGAGTTGGGGGAGAACACTGGGAGGGACATTCTGATCCAATACCGTCGCCCCTGATGCTCTTACCGGGTACAAAGACACTTCTTTGAGCACATGCAGAATATTAAAAATAAGTTGTGCGTACGTTGCACTTAATGAGGCGTGTCCTGCCGGTGAATTTTGTTGTTCCCCCAAACGACATCCGTTTCCCATCTTCTGATTGGTCCATTACATGCATATCTAATGCCTTGTTCTCCACAACACAAACCCAAGCTAGGCTTTACGTCTTGTGAGCAATGTTCCTTCCTCACTTTAATTATTTAAAAGGTAAAATGAGAAGAAGTGAAAAACGCTCACTGAGATTCGAACTCGGATCACCTGATCAGAAGTCAGGACTACTTCCGACCAGTCTACGAATCTGCTGCCAATCGTCGGTGATTTGAACAACATTTATTGTTATAACTTATTCTCTAAAGCCCTGGACATCATGAATATGCAGAGAGAGCACCGTCTTTTGATATTGTCCAATCTCGTTTGGGAAAACGGGGCTCTCAAAAGTGGTAAAAATGCGCCCTCTCTTGCTCGCTCACGTACCCGTAGCTCATTGCGCAAGGTTGGCTCTACTAATTTTATTCTTTGCATGAGCGTCAGTCACCATCGGCAACGCGTTGAGATATCCCTCCCTGACATGCCTGAGTGGTCTCCCCCACGTCTTTCTTAAGAACTGCCAAGGGGATACTTCTGCATGAGGCCCATTTTTCAAATGTACCGGTAGCTAAGATTTTCTGATGTAACTGATTTTCCCTCCTCCCCCTACATGTATATAAGCCACGCCCACAATGTGGGGAAGAAGCAGCATGCCTGTTTATAATCCCTCCAAGCACTCCACCAATGTTAATGTCGCACATGCAATAGCCATTCCGTGCGGCAATCAAACATGCCAGACATGCCTGCAGACGTGCATAAAAACTATCAAAATATGGAACATACCACCGGATCACAACGCTATAATCCATGCAGGAGCAGATGAAAAGAAAAATGGGGTACATCAAATAAACAATGTTAACACATATATGATGTCAATGTAAGTCAAGCATTGATCTGCCGCTAATGGATGTGAGAGAAAAGTAAACGTGAAACACATGCAACAATTAATGACGGTGGAAGTTCATGACTTTATGGTGTGACCTGAGGCTGAAGATCTCATGAATATGCCAAGTGCATGGGGCAATTTTTGCTACCTGAGGCCAAACAAACAAACAAACCGCCCAACAAACAACCCATCAACAAACAAACAAACAAAAATTGTGTGTTTACGATAACATCCTAAACCCTATCTAGTCTTGGTACACGTACATGTAGGTAGTAAGGAAAATGTTATTATTAGTTAACATTTCTACATTGGTCATACCGGTACTTACCAGTAATTTGTTTACATGTACATACTTTGTTTTCATAGCACCGGTACATGTATACGTGTACTTTGATTACGGTATTCTGGTTAATTAACCTGTTTAATTGTATAGATTGACCAAGAGCACACAAATCAACTTCATCAGGGTAGACTTATTCTTACTTTCAAAATATACTTTATCAATGTAAACTATTGGCCAAATGTGGCAATGAACAAGCTCGATCGGAAATATCTCGGAAGCTGCGGGCCAACGAATTTGAGTTAAAAAAAATCAGGTTTTTTACCCCCGGGCCCCATGATGACCTTTGACCCCAGTTTGGTCATGTGACATGTTGGGGCTGGGCTACTGCTACCTTTGACAAAGTTTGGTTGAAATCGGTCAAAATATGTAGGAGCAACAGACAATTGTCAACATTTGTTACTACTACAGTAACAGCGAGACATGATGATTCAGTGTTAAGCTGCTACATGTACACATACATGTATGGCTCCGTGCACAAGTACCCCATCAACGGCCAGAAAATGAGAGTTGGGGGTGACCTAGACTGGTTCCCGATCCATCCACTGCCTTCTTCTAATGTTTCCAAAGTTATTGGAGGCGGGGATTAGTCTCGAAAACCATTGCAAGTTGAATTCGAACATATTCGCGCGCCGACGACGCTGTGGCTATAACTTTTGCACATTCAGGAAGTCGTGCATACTTCGCGCGCAAACCAGTACAGTACAGTACACGCAAGCTGTGTTTCCCGTCCACGGAGCTCTCAAAAGAGGTAAAACGTGCCCTCTGTTGTTGGCGCACGGAGCCCAAAGTCGGCAATTTGGCCACAAAAATCCAGGTGGTGTAGGATCACCCTAAACACACACTTTTTAATGCCTTTCAAAATAACAAAAGCTAATGCCATTAGAATTGAAAAAAGACTGACAAAAGCTGCATATTCTGAAATGATAAAAACACTCTCTGGACTACAAGCAAGAGAAGGGGCCCATAACTTCACAATCTCCGATGTAGTTAATACTGAATTTTGTGCAGTTACTTTTCACTCAGTGCCCCTACATGACTCTGTGCCC